CTGCTGTGCCGCTGCCGCCGCCACCGCTTGCTCTAAGGCGATCTGCTGCTGTGCTGCGGCCTGCTGCAGAGCCGCTGCTTGCTGCACCGCATGATCCAGAGCTACTCGCTGTTCCAAGGCCGCTAGCTGCTGCTGCTGTTGCTGCAACTGCTGCTGCATCTGCATCTGCTGTTGTTGCTGCATGTGCAGTTGCTGTTGCGCCAGCTGCTGTTGTTGCTGCTGCTGCTGCTGCTGGTGATGATGCTGGTGATGATGATGTTCCTGCTGCTCCATCAGAGCTCGCTGCTGCGCTTCCTGCTGTTGTTGTTGCTGCTGCTGCTGCTGCTGTTGCTGCTGCTGCTGCATAAGCGCTTGCTGCTGCGCCTGCAGTAGCGGCGCCACGGCGGGGTCCACTCCCATGGCGACCACCGCATCCATCCCGGATGGACCTGTGATCCCCTGCATTGCACCTGCAGCGGACACGTCAGGGGCTAGCGGAGCCTGCGCTGCGTCCGCCGCCGCCGCCGCTGCCGCGTCACTGATCTGACACCCCGGCGGCGCCAGGACCCCAGCGCCCTCCGCCAGAGCAGCCAGCTGCGCTGCCGCCAAGCTCAGCGCCTCCGACATGCCCAGGTCCAGGGGTGCCACGCCCGTCAGCGATGACGTGTCCAAGAGGGATACTGCACCTAATGAATCGGCACCCTGATGTTGAGCTGCTGCGAACAGGAGCTGCTGTTGCTGCTGCTGCTGCTGTGCATCGAGTGTGTGCTGGTGTTGCGGTTGATGTGCGTCATGGTGCTGCGGCTGCTGTTGCTGGGTAGAGGCAGCAGCAGCAACCGCGGCGGCGGCGGCGGCGGCGGCGGCAGCTTGTTGCTGCGGGTCCAGAGAAGACATATGCCCTGGTAGGCCCATGCCCGGCGGTAACATACCCAGTGACTGAGCGCCCGGGAAGCCGAGTGCCTGGTAGGGGCTCTGCGGACCCAACTGACCTGGCAGCCCCATGGCCGGCATCATCAGGCCCATGCCTGGCGGCAGGCCAGCCATGCCCGCACCCGGCTGCGACATCATGCCCATGTGTTGTATCCCCATCCCCATGCCCATCTGGATGGCCGCAGGAAGAGTCAGTGGCTGTCCTGGCGCCAGGCTCAAGCCAGGCAAGCCCAAGTTCATGGGATGGCCGACTCCCATCCCCACCTGCATCTGCATTGGAACGGTGTGCCCCAGCGGGCCCATACCAGCCATGACATCCCCGCCTGGGTGGCACATTACCGAGCCCACCGAGCCGCCCACGCCCCCGGCACCGCCGAACATCGCCACCTGCTGCTGCGCCATGGCTGCAAAATCCGGTATGCCCGCCGCTGCCAGCTGTGCCGCAGTGGTGGGGTCGAGGTGGCCGGGCATAGCGACGGTGCCGTGGGGTCCCATCATGGCCAGGACCTGACCCGGCTCTGTCTTGAGCGCAATGTGTCCGAGCCCCATGGCGGCTGCCGCTGCGGCCAGAGGGTCCCCCCCGGAGGCGGCAGCAGCGGCGGCAGCGGCAGCCGCTGCCCCCTGCTGCTGCTGCTGCTGCTGTTGCTGCACTAGAAGTTGCTGCTGCTGTTCCTGCTCCTGTCGAAGCTGTTCTTGCTGCTGTTCTTCCCGCTCCCGCTCCCGGTCCTGCTGCTCTTTAAGTTTCTGCTCCTGCCGCCGCTGCTTGGCTGCTGCCGCCGCCGCCGCCCTGGCCGCCCTGGCCGCTACGCGCTCCGCGGCAGTGGGTTTTGGCGTTGGGTTAGGCGGTGGCACCTCAACTTCCAGTTCCTCATCCTCTGCGGCGGCAGCGGCCGCCGCCGCTGCCGCCACTGCCGCTGCAGCCTTGGAACGCCGCGGCCGTGTCGTTCGCGTCGCCTCCGCTGGTGGCGGCGCCGGCGCCTCTCTTTTCCTACTGCCCGACGGGGCGGGCGCGCGCGCATCATCATCATCGTCGTCGTCGTCGTTGCTCTTCCGCCGTCCACCGCGTCCGCCTCCACCTCCACCGCCTCTTCCGCCTCTTTCCCCTCCGCCACCTTCGCCATCCCCGCCTGCGCAGTTACTGGGAGCGACGCTCAGCAGGGCCGTGGTGGCCGCCATCAGCGCCGCCGCTGGCGAGTTGGGGTCGGGCACGCCCCATCCCGGCGGCGGTAGCGGCTGCGGCTTCAGCGGCTTTCCCGCCAGGAAGCAATGCGGGTAGTCAAAGACCTTAGCGAACCACTTCTGGCCGATCGCTACCTTGAGCAGGAGCACCACCTCCACCACCCGCCCAGCCTTGAACTCGTTGATGGCTCGGTCGAGGAACAGGCCCTGTACAGGTTTCACCGCACCCCAAACCAAGGGGGGGAGGGTGGAAGCATGGCTGAGATTCAAGCGAGTCGTAAACACGCCGTCGATCAGGAAGACGGACCAGTCTGAGTGCGACGACCGGCCGGGCTGTGTTGAGCACGGCAGCTTCGAATGTCCCAAATCCCCTTTTGAGAGAGCACTGGGCTTAAAAACCCTGAACTGAAAGCCCCCATCGCAAGGCAGCCCTACCTACAAAGCAACTCCCCCTCATAAGACCTCTTATGCCCTAACACACAAAGAGGTACAAGCGGCGGCTGAGGCGGCCGCCGCCGCCGCCGCCGCCTCATTCACCCAGGGTACACCTCTTTCCCGCCCCTTCCTTTACTCCCTTCCCGGCCTTCCTGTGTTCCCAACCGCGGTCGGACAGTCCCGCGGCCACGCCACCACTACCACAACCTACTCCCACACACACCTGCAGCATGTTATTGCCGTGCATGCCCACCGGCGGAAATACGTACACCCTGCCCGCCCAGGGGTTACCCGGCTGCAGCCCGTCGTCCTCTGCGCTGTAAAAGCGATTGGACTGAACGCCAACCTGCGATGCAAGGCGGAAGGGTAGAAGATGCGGTTTGCGCGGCGACTGAGAGTACAATGCGAACGGCAGTGTGGATGGGGTAAACCCCGGGGGGAAAGCTCCGGAGGGGGCCGAGGGGAAGGGAGCGAGGACGGCTGCAGAGGTGCGAGTAGGGAACACAGGGTTAAGGAACCTGCGGTCCGCAGTTCTCCTTGGCCAGAGCTTTGCGTATGTGGATCCCGCATAACATGCGAACACTTTACATATGAACCAAATTCCTTCTTCTGCTTTGTTGAAACCCCAAGAGGTTAACCCAGATCGCCAACCGCAAAAATTTCCACCCGCCGGTTTACAAGTCCGGTTCCGGGCGACCCAAATCGTAATCGCGCGAGGGGCAATGCGGCTGCTGGGTTGTGGAGCTGCGTGCCGACCGCACTTCCTAGAGCCTACCCACCTAGCCATCTGGACGCCCGATCAGCTGGTCATCCATCCATCCATCCATCCATCCATCCATCCATCCGCCCGCCCGCCCAACAAGCCGACCGGCCAGCCAGGAAGCCATCCAGCCAAACATTCAGGCCTATCTCTTCACCCAGCCAGCCATCCAACCAGCCACCCACCTGCGCCAGCTCGTCGCTGCAGGGGTCCAGATCAATAACGCCCCCGAACAGGCGCTTGACTCCCGCAACGATATGGTACGGCGTCCGATAGAACTCCGAGTCTGGGCTGACGTAGTCGCGCCAGTCGGCGCAGGCGGCACGGTAAGATTCGGGTATGTCCTTGGAGAGTACTGACTCGACCAGTCGGTGGGTCAACGGCACTCCCGTCTCCTGGCTAATGAGGTTGGCTTTGACCCAGGTTTTGATTGCTTTCTGCGGCTCCAAGCCCACAAGCGCGCGGACCTGTGAGGTTGACGAAGGAAAAGGAAGGGGAACGCGAATCGTGCTTCACGCAGCTGCGGCAAATCGCTGGGCTTAGTCAGCAGGATGAGCGCGGGAGGAGCGGAGAGATGGGAGAGCTGTAGGAAAGATGAAAACGGAATTGAAACCGCCTTCGTGACAGGTCGCCATGAGCAGAGCGTTAGCGTGTTCCATACCGCTAGTCTGCGCCGTCAGCGAGAGGGCGATACACACATGCAGGCGGTTCCGTGACAGGGCATAGGTGTCGTGCTGCAAAGCAACCTATATAAATTTTACACATCGCCTGAACCAGATGCATGCAGCAGGGCGTTCTCTGAGTGTTGTTGGAGTGAACGCGCCCATGGGCCACGCCCCAAGCAAGGGACCCCGCTGGCCCTCGCTTCACGTGCCTGGCGCTCGCTGGTTGGAAGTGCTATAGTCGGAGGAAAGATCTTGGCAAGTTTGGTAGCCGCAAGGAGGCGCAAAGCTTGTCGAGGACCAAAGCCGAAGTCCGCCTTAGTAGAAATGTAGTTCGAGAACGAGTCCGCGCCCGACTTCTTAAATAGAGCCGTGTCATGTATCACGAGCAAAGCTGCGCCAACCTTAAGCCAATTGTTGCGCTGGTAATTCGCAACAATTAGCGTCTCGCATCCCTCCAGGTCCTCAGGATCCCTGCGCACCACCTCCACCGCAGACAGTAAGATGTCCATCTGGCTCCAGATGCTGACGGACTTCCAAGGCCGTCTCGGAAACGTTTTGGGCTGGGTCCGGGACGAAAACAGGTAATGTGCTTAGCACCGAAGTCCCCAGCGTTCAAGAGCCCTGTCCACTAGCAACCCTTATATCTGGTGCGTTCCTGAGAACGAACGATGTGTCTCCAAACGTTTTGGTGCCTACGCCGAAGGAGGGACCCGGGGGACTTTTTTGTGCACTGGGTCAGTTGCACCCCCGGACAACCTACAAAAACTCAAAGCTATACCTATGCTATGTTCCTCGTCACATTTCAAGTATGCTGAATATGGCGAACTTTGGCGCTCTTGGGTCCTGGCTTTGTTAATCAACGGCACAAGTTACGGGCACAATACATATGCAAGCCAGCTACTTTTGCGTGCTTCACCTTCAACAACATATGAGTATTTGTATCTAACAATACAACTGTCGTTAAGCTTACAAGCGCACTCGATTTGATCGTCCTTCAGACAGGTGTGCAAAGTTCAAGCAAATGCATGCTCGCCGCGCTTCCCATCAGGAAACTAGAAAGTAAATTTACAGTCGATAATCAAACGCGTGCGGCCACATAAGCCTAAACGACCTGCTGCTCCTACAAAGACGGCCAGGGCCTTATGTAGCCGTCGGCTCTAACAAACCCTGTTTTTGCAAGGCCACCACCATGCGCACCAGCTCCTGAGCCACTGCCGACACAGCAGGCCTCTGCCGGGCGTCATGCATGCAACACCAAAGGCCCAGCTTTACCAAGCGCTCCGCCACCTTCATATCCCAGGAACCAGCAGTCGAGTCCACGACCTGCACCGCAGCCGTCAGACCGTTAGATGTAATCCTCCAACGAGGCGACGTGGGGCAGGTCAGAGCACCCATGTCCTTAAACGCATTGCTTTCCTTCCCCCGAGTACGACGCACCCAACCTATCTCTCTCTTTCTCTCTCGCCCTAGCCGCCATCTCCCACGCAGTTAATAGGAGGAGGAGGAGGTGGGAGTCGTCATCTCCCGCCCTTTCTTTTCCCCACCCCGACCCGTCCGCAGCCCTCACCTCCGGCAAAGTGCACTTGTCAAGGACGTCCTGCACCTGCCGTACAATGTCCCGTGGGTCTTTCCCCAGCACCAGCTGCAGCAGGCACAAACCCATGGCCCAGGTGTCCGTGGCGGGGCTGATCACTCCCGCAGTCTTGTACTCCGGGGCCAGATACGCCCAGGTCCCCACAGCGCTGTCGTCACGAGCGCGACTGGCGCCTGGGGTGTGTGTGATGGCGGGAGTGTGTGTGCGCGTGTGGGTTCGGTTTGGGTGATTTGGCGGAGGCTTGGGAGCTAGGAGCTATACACCCCCAACCGGTCACGAGTGATGCCCTCCACATTTAAACACGCGCACACATCCTGGCCCCACTACGTTGCCTAACATAACCTTTTCCTAGCCTTATCCTTCCTCCCCCACCCCCCCACTGCCCCGCGCCCCCACCCTACCAGCCCGCCAGCCGTCCAACGCCGCCAGCCCGATGTCCCCCAACTTGGCGTCCATGTTGGCGTCCAGGAACATGTTGGCTGGCTTGATGTCGCGGTGGATGATGCCCAGGCTGTGGAGGTAGGCAAGAGCGTCGGATATCTGGGCGGCGATACGGACACGCACGGGCCAAAGCAGCGCCGGCGTTGGGGCCGTCTGAGTGTACGGGCCGTACAGGGCCGTACGGGATTGTCAAGGGAGGAGGGAGGGAGGGGGAGAGGTAAGGGTCTTGGGAAGTGCGTGGGTGGCTTGTGTGGTGTAATGGTGTGGGGGCAAGGGGGGAGGGGGGAGGTGATGCATCAGCAAGGCGGCGCCCCGTGTTGGTCGGGGGGAGGGGGGAGGGGGGAGGAGGCAATAGATGAACCACGTGAACAAATGAAGCTGATGCCAAGGAGGATATCGACTCTGATGCGCCACAAGTAGGTAACTAACCAGTCGCGAGCTGTGGAGGAAGAGTCTTCGCCGGGAGGGAGGAGGGAGGAGGGAGGGAGGAGGGAAGAGCCAAATTGTTGCAGTTTACATCTCCCTCCGTCCTCCCTCCTCCTTACCCTACCCTACCCTCCCCCCCCTGAGGACCCCCACTAACCCCCGGGGGGGAGGAGGATGGTGCGGAGGACAGATAGCTCCGCGGGTAACCCACCGTGTATTGCCCCGGCTTACTACACTACACAGCACACGCAAAGGCATCTTCTCACATTTGGCAGGCAGCTTGCAGGTTCGTCAGGCCGACGCAATCACCACCCCCGCGCACACACACACACGACGTGGCAACAGCTTATGCACATACATACACGCACACACATACAAACTTCGCCCCTTGAACACGAACCTTCCTTGGATAACCACCACCACCACCACCGCCCCTACCACCGCCACCGCCAACAACCTCCTCCAAACGTCCCACCCACCCACACCTCCCCGCCACTCACTCACCCTTCTGAGCAGTCGGTCCTCCAAATTCCCATTCGTGAGCAGCTCGTACACCAAACACTGCGTGCCGCCGTCACTCCCTCCCCCTCCCCCCCCAGCCGCGGCCTCCACTGCGCCTGTGAAACCTAGCAGTCGTACAATGTGCGGGTGGTGGATGCTGCGGGCCAACTGGATCTCGTTCTTGTACTCGGCAATGCCCTGGAGCCCCTGCGGGTCCAACACCTGATCAGCAGGAGGGGGGGAGGAGGGGGAGGAGGGAAGAATGCTGCAATGGGGCAATGGGGAAAAGCCAAATAGTAATCAGCACAAAAGTACCCCAGTCGACATAACGCATAAGCCATTTCCATATGAGGAAAATTAGGCCCCTTTCACGGAGGGGACTGTGTGATGTTGTTACTCATCATCATCATGTGATCCTTAATGGATTCGATATGCGGGTAGTAGCAGCAGTAGCAGCAGCAGTAGCAGCACTACTGCCAGTATGATACCAGATTCATGACTGTAACGTGTCCTTAACTTCATCCACCGCACACACAGACACATATACAAACTTTCCACGCATACCTTTATTGCCACCGGAGTGTAGTTGATCATGGCCCGATATACCTTGCCAAACCCTGCGCGAGTACGTGGCGTGATTAATGTGACATGGCCCGGACGTCACCACAGAGGGTGTGGTGTGATCAGCGGAGCTAGGAAGGGGAAGTTGTGATGGGGGAATGATGTGACAGGGAAGTGCACCTAAGAGGCTTCTGGGTCCTCTTACCGCCTTCGCCGATAAGGCACAGCTTGTGGAAGCCGCCCGTCGCGGCATAGAGCTCCGCGACGCCATACTCTGGGAAATCACCAGATTGAGCCATTGTTCGCATTCGGAGGTTACTAATCACGGGCGTGGGCCGTTAGGCCGTCTTAACCCAAGAGCCTGTTGCAACATGCTCAGCACGGTCGGGTCGTCCTACATATAGCTAAAACTTTTAATACATCATAATAATGTGCGTTGTGTCTAAAATTGAGCTGATGAAGGTGAAGGTTCAAAGGTGCGAACGGTTAGCAAAAAGGCCAAGCAGTGGAGAAGGTGCTGTTCTTGAGCATCAACATCAACCGCTACCTTTTGTTTATAACATTAACGCATTCCAGGAGAGGAATCCTGAGGAACTGCGAAAACTAAACTCGCAGGAAAAACCCGCCGTACAGCTCAAGTTAATATCACAATCCCATAGAGGAACTCGCATACAAATTTTCCACCATTGCAAATAAAAATGATGGGAAAGCAGCTGCTCACAAAGACCCGTACTTGCAGATTGGCCAGGATCCGGTCTACTCGCCAAGCCTTGAATCCATCTCCGCGTTTTAAATGTTGGACCAACAGCGCAGCAGACCACCCAAAAAAACGTCTCTTGCCTGCATCCGCTACAGCGTCCCCCGCGGCGCCGCCAGAGCTAGAAGCTACTGCGCCGTCGTCACCTAGCCTACAGCAGCTCCTGTCCACGGGTGCGCGCCTCACTACCGCAGCGCAGGCCGTATGGGCCCAGGTGCGAGAAGAGGAATAATCTCAGATGGCGGGACGGCACGGGTAAGAGGAAAAGGACGTGGGCCACATAGCCACGTTCCATTACAGGCCACTGTGAACACAACAAACCAAACATCTCTGGAAGGTGGGGTGGGCGCCGCCAGGGAGGCTGTCCTCTTCGACTCCGTTGGGGGACCCCTCACCCCTTTTTTGATACACTTGTCACTCGGCCTTTTCATCCCAACCTGAGTCTTCTTCTCATGGCCTTAACGAGTTCTCAAGGGCGCCTTTCCCCGCAGTGCGGTGCAGTGCATTGAATTGAATTCACATCCCCCGGCGACTTTCTTGTACGCATTCACCCGTCCCCACCACCACCACCCCCTCCCCTCGCATCGTGCCACCATGCCGCCAAGCACCACTTCGCTTCCCCGCTTCCTCCCCCGGCCCCCCCCCGGGGTTTCCCCCATGTCGCCCCCAGGTCCTGCAACCCGGCGACACGGCGGTGGATGCCACGTGCGGTAACGGCCACGACACGCTGTTCCTGGCTCAGGCAGTTGGGCCTCGTGGGCACGTGCACGGATTCGACATCCAGGTACACCGCTGGGTGGCTGGCTGGCGTTGCTGTGGGTGGGTTGGTTAGGTGGGTAGGTGGGTGATCATCAACACACCGTTTGGCCAGTGCTCTCAGCACAGCCAAGCATGCCCAGCTGCGGGTACACGCACACACGCACATACGCATACACACGCACGGCTCAAACACATACACACACGCATACACACACCCGCTGGCCCCTCGCGCCTCTCTCTAACCCCCCACCCCCTCTTTTAACACACACTACCCATCCCTAACGACCCTCCAACACACAAAACCCCCCACACCACGCGGCCCAGTGCAGGACGCCGCCATCAGCGCCACCAGGGAGCGGGTGGAGGCGCACCTGACTGCCAGCAGCCGACCCACCATCACCCTGCACCACACCTGTCACTCGGGACTTCGGGAGCTGTGCGGGTCGGGGGTGGCGCGTGTGGTGGCCTTCAACTTGGGCTACCTGCCCGGCACGGGTGACAAGCGGGTCATCACCGCCACGCAATCGACTGTGGCGGCGGTGGAGGCCGCCTTGGAGGTAGTGTGCGTGCGTATGTATGTATGTGGGGAGGGAAATTTGACTGTTTAGAGCCGCGCGAGGGCGGTGGTCTCCTTGGAGCCCCATTTGTTACTCCCGGTAATGGATGTGTTGTGTCGTGTTTGCTGCGGACGTGACGTGAAGGGACTTACTGGACCCCACCTGACCTGGCCTGGCCTGGCCTGGCCTCAAGGGATTCCCTACTCACCCCTCATCCCCCGTCCCCGTCCCCGTCCCCATCCCCGTCCCCGCCCCCTCCCCGTTCTGATGCACTCTGCAGGTGGTGATGCCCGGCGGCATTATCAGCATCTTGGCGTATGTGGGTCATCCGGGGGGGCAGGAGGAGTACGAAGCAGTTGGGCGGCTGGTTTCGGAGCTCAGTCCGTCATACTGGTGCGAAGGGTTGGGTTGCAGGTGTGCACGTGGTGGTTGGTGGGGCCCGATGTGTGTGTGTGTGTGTGGCGTCGTGTGGCCGTGTGTGTTTGTGTGGATTTCGGAGGTGTCCAGGGAAGGGACAGTGACCTTATAGCCTGGTTCGGGATGTTGTGAACGCGGCCCGAGGGAAGACTGATACCCCTTGTGATGACTGCACCTGGACGAGGCGGCATTCCTTAAAACTCAACGTAAACCTAGGGCCACCAAACTCATCTCCACCGTCCGGCAGAGGAACTTAGCGCGATCCTTGGTGAACGGCAAGTTCGCCGTTTGCCGCCGCCACCCCATGATCATCGATGAGGAAAGTGAGACATCCCGTGGTCACTCGCGGCCGAAGACCCGCCCATTCGTCCTCAGATATAGCCTCCAGTGGTAAGGGTTTCAGATTACTAACGGCGGTGTCCACGAAGAAAGCCCATAAGCCGGAGCCAGGATCTCGGATTCCCCCTAACTACTCAACAAAAACTGATACCAAATCCGTCTCTGCCAGAGCTGCCGCCATCTCCGCGCACCATTCCCGAAATTGGGACAGGTGCAGCAATCGTTTAGCTGTGGTGAAGGCTCCATAAGCAGCTGCGCAAAGGCCACCCCATCTGCTCATGGCGGTGATGTCATCCGCCTGATCGCCTGGACTCAGGACTGCACGAGCTAGGGCCTTCTGCGCTTCGGCCACCGACTCGGGTTGTAACTCAAGTACTGCCACCGTAAGCAAGTCCCGGAAAGCCGTCGTGCGTTCCCGAGTTGGTAGCGGCCCAAGCTGCGGTTGGGCCAGCAGTAAGATGTGCTCCACTGCCGCCGCTGCAGCGTGCAGCGGTAGCGTTTCCCTGGAGTTTGCAGCACAAGCCGCTGCGGATGTTCTTAATACATTGCGCACGGCCATGGCCTGCTCTCCGGCCGGTCCTAACGGGACCCTGGAATCCGATGCAGTCGTGATGGACGCCCTAATCTTTCATGTAGTGAAGGACCTTCCACCCTTCCTGCCTGTCAGGTCAGGACTGCTGCTCCCGTCCCGTCCACTCCGATTGCAGCAGTCCCTGTCCTGGCCAACCACCAGCTCTTAAACGTCCCCACGCGACGGAAGGGGTCACGATATTTCCCCCCACCTCCACACACACACACGCACCTTTGTGGTTCCCTCACCTTCCCCTGTCGAACCCCCAATCCCCTACCTCCCCTCCCGGGCAGGGTGTCTTCAGAGACCAGGTTACTCAATCGACCCACAGCACCCCGACTGATCCTGCTGTGGCGCCGAAACGATGATGAGTTGCCGGCCAAAACCCGGGGGTAGCTGTCACCGTCACTGTCACTGTCACTGTCGGTGGCAAACTATCTGGGCTTTGTGACAGACGCACCTCCGTCCGGAGTGTACTCTCAAGCGAAAGCCACAAATGGGTTTGGAGTGGACCTTACCACATTATTATCATTATTGTGTGATATGTTTTTCTCTCTTAACTCTTTCGATTAGGCTTCGGGCCCGCTGGCCCTTGGGGCCCCCAGTGCCCGTATAAGCCTTATTATAAGGGATATTTTTGGTGGCGCGAACATAACCCCGTAGGGAATAGAACACACACACTCACACACTCTTACCTGGATGTGGACGGCGAGGTTAGAGTTTGAGCGGGGTCAAGGTGGGTGACAAGATGGTTACATGAGGAAGGTGAGGTGGGTGACAAGACGTGTGTCTCCATAGTGCCCACATGGTCTTAACCCCACGCGCCTGAGCACCGGTTTGCTGCTGGTGCCATCTGGGTTTGGAGTGGGGACTGCTGACTGATGTGGTGGTGGCTATCTGCTTTGCTGGACTGCTATATACTGCAATTGTGGCACCATTCATTATGTATATATGTATGTATGTGTGCAACATGGTTAAGGCCTACCCCGGAGAGTTCTTAATGGCTTTTTGTTCTTTGTGATGATGGTGATGATGATGATGATGTCAAGATGTGCGCTGTGCAGCTTCGCTGCCTTCATGCACCACCGGGGGCAAACAGGGGCAAAGGTAATAACATTTACACACGGGGTTCATAACACGCATGGCACACAAACAAATGGCATCGTATGTAATGGCCCAACAGGTGCATGAACAGATTCCTGGCCGTGTCATACCTTCTTCATGCCTTGCTTTACATACAAACGGACCACGAGAAAGCACTAAACTCGTGTCCTTTCACCCATCTCACATGAAAGATACGCAGTCGCCAACCAGGGCTGTAGCTGGGAGCAGGAAACAACTTCATACATAGCCAGAGAGGCAATTGGATTGCTTTTTTTCCCTGCTACCCTTCCCCACCACTCTGCTGCCCGCTGACTCTCCCCTCAACATCCCACGTGCATGGAAAACATCTTCGTTGACACGCAGTGCACACATCGTTGTCTTCAAACACTGTTTGAATGTTCAGCCCAGACCATGCCCCAGACCATGCCCCAGACCATGCCCCAGACCATGCCCCAGACCATGCCCCAGACCATGCCCCAGACCATGCCCCAGACCATGCCCCAGACCATGCCCCAGACCATGCCCCAGACCATGCCCCGGACCATGCCCCAGACCATGCCCCAGACCATGCCCCAGACCATGCCCCGGACCATGCCCCAGACCATGCCCCAGACCATGCCCCAGACCATGCCCCAGACCATGCCCCAGACCATGCCCCAGACCATGCCCCAGACCATGCCCCAGACCATGGCTTCAATGCAAACGTTCCATCCTCGAGCTGACGACAGCCATGCACCACCTATGAGTAGTCCATCCCTCAAGCCCTTCTAGGTCACAATGGTATCTACTTCGTTGTCATGTTGTCGGTAGGGGTGTACACGGTAGGGGTGTACACGGTAGGGAAACAGCGCAGAGGGGGGAAAGATTCCTCTCCTCGTGCAGGCATCTATAAAACCCGAAACCCTAGACTACCGCCGCCTTGTGATGTAGCCGACTTCAGGCACGCTTTCCATTTACCATATCCTCTCCTACAGATTGCCTCTGATATCGTACACAGCAATAATGCCTCTGCCCTGAGCATCCCTTTAAAAAAAAGTCCACACACACATTTCAAAAACTGTATTGTACAGCTTGCAGGCACGTGTTAGAGCCATACCGCAAGATCACAAAGAAGTCCTAGGGGGGCCCCCAAAACGTCCGGCTCCGCAGCCCCGGCGGCTGCGAGCTGGATGGAGTAGTCACTGCCACCAACTGGTGAGACAAAACACACAGCGCACCACACACCACTACTGCGGCATGCCCTACCAACACATGCAGTACCAGCATATCAGGTACGGCTGGGCTGCTATGTTTCGGAGCATTCCCAAAAGCCTCTCGGGAGATGTGGTGGCCTCCTAACTTGGCTTAGCTTCAAAAAAAAGGTGCATATATGCCGGTGTAAATACATGCCGAGGAAGGAAGATAGAAAATACAACATTGAGTAAATAGTACAGGTATGGGCAGATAGAGCTTCTAATGGTACATATGCACAAAATGAACTGGCTGGTACCGCGGGGGCGGGCGGGCGGAGTTACCTGTGGCGGCAGTAGCCCCCGGTAGAGTGTGCGTGGGGCAGGACCGCCGTTATTTCCGTTAGGGCCCCCGAGACTCCCCGCCTGGGGTCAACACCCGGGCACACACACATACAGACAGACACACACACACACGGCCCTGTGTGCGCCCACTGTCGACATCCACAGCCACGGTGTCTCGGCATCGTGTTGACACGCCAGAGCCCCCAGACCAGTGAGGCATCACCCCGAACCCCCCGCCGAGGAAATCTGTCACACAAACATCACCAACCAATCAACCAACCGACTACCTGAGTCAAGCAACTGTCCGCAACCAAACAGCCGTCAACAATGAATAATCGACTGCTGCCAATCAACTGCAGAAAACGTCAACCGCCTGGTGGGATCCTCTCCCCTTTCCTTTCCTTTCCTTTCCCATAACGCAAGACCAGGAGCACCTGGCCAGGTTGGGGGTATACGGACGGAGCCACGCGGGGCCCCACCTGATGTGGGCTGAGAGGGAGGGGGTCTCCCCTCCCCTCGCCTCACTCCGCTAACCATTCCACCCTTCCCTGCACCCTTTCTTTCCTCCCCCCACCCCCCGCCGCCCGCCCGCCCGCCCTCTCCAGACTGCCGACGTCACTCATCCGCGGGGGCACACAGGACGATGATCGCACTGCGCTGCCGCACACCGGGGGGCAAGAGCCACGTGGGGCCAGGCACACCCACCCACCCACCCACCCGGGTATGAGGGTACGAATGTGAGATCACCACGGCGCCTCATCGCGCACACACAGTGCCAGGTACCTGCCAAAGGGCGGGTGGGTAGTGGGCGCATGGGTGACGGTATACAGCGGGAGCGGACAGGTGGTATGCGGTATGCGGAGGGGTTGGGTGGGAAAGACGAACCACACGCGGGGTTGGGTGGGTGGGTGCTGCCCGGAGAGGTAAGGTCAGTTCGCACATGATGATGGCACACACCAGTGAGCGACGAGGTTCATGGACTTCACCTCGGAAGGAAGTACCTCAAGAAGAACACATCTTGCCACGCCAAGGTGTAGTGCCTCATGCGGCTCCCTCGCGGCGGAAACGACGCGGAGGCCTTTCATTGGCTCTCCTGACCTCCCCCCTCCCCCCCGCCTGTCCAAACTGCCTCACCGGTCAGCGTCAACCACCCAACCACCCCAACCACCTAACCAACCAGCAAACCAACCACGTATCCTAACAAGAAACCCTGACAAGCGAACCGCCCCAACCCCCCCCCCGCGCCCACCTGTCCTCCGGAGCCTCTCCCAGCGCACTGAGGACTGCGGCGGTGCGACCTCCCGCACCGCAGCCCGGACAGCCCGAGTCGTTGACACCGCAGGCGCTACTGGCGGTGCTGGCGATGCTAGGGATGGAGACGCCACTGCTGCTCGTGCTGCCCGCATGCACCGATCCTGCCGGTGACGGCACTTGCACCGCCGGCGCAGCCGCCGGCGCGGATGCGCGAGAGGAGGAGGTCGGGAGTGGCGACGTGGGGGCGCCTCCGATGATGTGAAGCAGCTCGGCTCGGTCCACCCCGCGGCCAACGCCGTACGCGAAGAGGGTCACGTAGCGCTGCTCGTCCGCCAGCTGCTCGGCCATTTGCCGGGCCTGAGGGAATATTCCGGTAGTCATTATTGTGTGTGTGTGGGGGGTGGGGTGGGGGGAGAAAGGGGGGCGTTATTTGGGTCACAAATTTATTGATTTAGGGTTTTTATGTGTCTTATTGGCGTTTCGCTCTTGCTTTACAGCAGGGTAAAACCACGAGGGCTCCTAACTCCCAGGGGGCTGGGAAGTCCAGCGCCGTACTGCCGTACTGCCGTACCGACATACATTGCTATGGGCGGCGCCGGGTTAAGGGCGCAGATCAGCATACATCGGTAGTACGACACGCTGTGGGGCTACGAAGTTACGAAGGATAGCCCCCAGGTGCCATCTAGGGGGCCAGCCGCCTCGCACCATTCATGCACCAAACGATTCATCATTTTTTGCCGCTTTGCACTATTGGAACTACTCGGATATCAAACAAACACGTTTCTAGTTCGCAAGTCTCGTGTTGTACTGCAGTGTACGATACCTCGTGAGCCTGGTACGAGTCCACTCGCCCATCCGTCAGTAGTACGACGTGCCGCATCGCGTCTGGCGCCGCGTCGCGCTTAAGCAGCTGCCCCGCCTTCTGAACCGCAACCGCCACATTCGTGCCGCCATTCATGCGAACCTGGAGAAACCCCGCGGAGGAGGAGGGTGAGGAGGGGGAGGAGGAGGAGGAGGAGGAGGGTGAGGGTGAGGGTGAGGACAGGTAATTTGTGTGACGCTGTGTGCCACTCGGCACTTACCACCCAGCTGTCAAATCCCAACCACGGACTACACATCTGCATGAGTCATGTACACACAGCTGTTGGCGCAGCCAGGCCAAGGGGCAATCAAGCAGCCAAGGTCAAGGAGGCCCCACAACCCAGGAGGTGCACCCCAAAGGATTCCGGCGGCGAAAAAGGCAAAATGTTGTGCCTGGAGTGGTCATGGAGGAGCTCGTAGTAGGGAGAACACCGGCACCAAGGGATCTGTTGGGATGATGATACGTTGATAAACGGGTTAGATATATCCCCCTCGTAACCGAAAAGCGTTATTGTCAATATCATTTGGCCGTTGGGAAGAGGTACCTTTGGCGACCAACTTAATTTACTTCCCGGATACACGCAAAGTTTCCCGCCGTACGCTCGTCCCCGTGCGGGTTTTCCTTTTCCCCCCCCTCCCCCCTTCATCTTCTGTGCTCTGTGGCTCTCCACGAGGCGCCTTTCGGCAGTTGGTATCGGGAATAGACCCTTTTCAAACCAAACCGCCCGGCTTGTATCGGGCAACCTGCAAGTGTGCGGTTTATGGTTTTACACACACACACACACACGCACGCACACACATTCGGACCAAATATCACAGCATTACACACACCCCGGGCCCCGGGGGAGCTGCCAGCCCAGGAGCCCACCGACCCACCATCTCCCGGGTAATCTTCTTCAGGGCCTCCAGGTCCACGGCCGCCAGGGGGGCCTCCACACGCACATCGTTACTGAACTGAACCACCGACACCTGCTTCGGGCGGTAGTGGTTGGTTGGGCGGTTAGGTGGCTGGTCGGTTGGTAGTGGGTGGGGGGTAGCGGGTGGGTGGACGGGGGGCGTGACGCGCATACACGAGTGAAACACGCGGGGCCCCAAAGTTCGTGCGGGTTCTGGTAGGTGGTGCGCCCGGTTGTTCTGGTGGGGCGTAGGGGCGACAGAGGCGCCACACGGCTCGATACGACGACGGTGCGGGACAGTACGGCACTGACAAAAGCCCAAGTAATAAGTATCTTCCAAGGTCGGTCAAAGCTGGGGCCTGCGTTGAACTTGACAGGGCAGAGGCAGGACACTGAAATCGCGGCAAGGCTGCCGGAGCACCAAATGACCTCCCCCCATTCTGAAGCGGGGTGGCGTGTAAAGCCGCGCACGCACATCATCATAACTAACCCAAATTGACTTATCAACGACCTGCCGTACGTACGTCGTACGGCGCACCGTTGGGGAACCAGTCGCCAGTGCCGTACTCAGCTCCCCCTAGCCCGCCTCCGACCCAAGCCAGTGGCCACGCACATTCGCACCACATCTTCAGTTCGTAACCCCAGGTTCCCCTTCTCTCAGGATGTGAGGTGCGACTGGCAGCACTGAGTTTGCACGGGAGGGGCACAAAACACATCGCTCGTCCACTCTACCTCGCCCCTCGCCCTGGAAAGAAGAAGCTTTACCTGGCAATCTGCCACACAGGCCTTCAGCTGGGTGCTCGCCTCCATCACGAAGCCCAACATGGCCTCAAACTCCTCTGGAGGGTCCACCACCCCGAGGTGCGGGGGTGTGGATTAATGAAGTGGCCCGTGTATGTATGTATGTATGTTGCGGGATTGCGGCGTGTAGAAGGCGGTTCTCGAGGATGCGGTTGCGGTAAGAGAGTATGGGTGGGAACATCTACGAGGTGTGTGTATGTTGTGTATGTATGCATATGTGTGTATGTATGTGTGTCCACTTGTGGGACCTTGACGCGCACCACCACCACCAGGTGGTTTAGTCCACAAGGCAGGTTAGGTACGTACAGGCAGAGCATTCTAAACGGCGGTTCTACGGCAGTTAGTTAGTTGGCACCGACGTGTTTGTCTGTCCGAGCGACTCGATGATTGAGTGCTCTTGCCCATATTTATATTTCCCAAAACTCAAGATCCTTAAAGGTACATATGAATATATCTCAACATGCGAACGAATGAGTACACTATGTTATGAAGCCTCCGGGCTGTGTGTGTGGGACCCAGAACGCAGTTTAAAAGTGCATGCTGTGCCGTCCAGTCCAAGTATGCCAGGCCTGCGTATAGCTACTGCCGCAACTGATCGTGGGTCTCCGAGATTATTGCGGCCTTTGCAAAACACAGATAAGATGCTCTGTTGCATATATACACTGCACGCGCTCCTCAACACGATTACCCGTCTCATCGGAGCCGACCCACATGGCGTCTGGTGCCATTCTGTGCGTGCGTCCTGGAACAAGGCGTCTGCGTTTTGTCGTCTGTCGTGTGACCTAGATAATCTCAAAAATGGAACAAGAGCCCGCATAAAACACAGGGCCTCGGCCAGATGTGCGAAAATTTGGTAGAAAAACATTTGTTTGGAGCATGTGCGCCTTGTAAGATTGATTGCTGCCTCTTTGGAAGTGCGCGGCGGTGTACGCAAATGGCGCAAGGAGACCCAAATCCAAGAAGGCCACAGAGCGTAGCAGCCCTGCCCACGCACCCGCGTTGACCGATCCGCTGCCGTCCACCAGAAATACCGCACTGACTTGTTGTGCGTCGCCTAGAGTTCGTGATGTGAGCTTCTCAATGCTGGCCTTGAGCTCTTCCGGGCAGGGCTTGGTCCATGGTGCACTGGCCTTGTCGGTGGTGGTTTTGGAGCCGAAAAGGGCCTTGAAACCGCCGGCCAGCACAGCCGCTCGACGCGTAAGTGCGACGGGTTCCCCCCACTTGGAAGCCCAGAGGGATTTCCATAGAGTGTCACAGCCCTGTAATGAGTAGATGTGTTGCGGACGGCGCGGCGCAACGCACCGCGAGATTGTGAAACATATGGCGCTCTCGGCGCTCGGCAACATGTTACGTTCGGCAACACGCGTGGCGCACAAAACGACCCCAATTTGCGCGTGTCAGTGTAAATACATCGTTATGTTGATGGGGAAAATAAAAGCGCAGATTGTCTTTGTACTCCCCAGGGCGCTTCGTCGGTGGTGAGTATGCCACGAGGGCGATGGGCGCTTACAGTCCACCCCGAAGGGCTCCCGCTACGCAAATGCAACAGAGCAACATGCCGTTAATTATGTTACAGTTAATTTGGTGGCCATCGGTGACTGTCTTCTGGGGCTTTCTTAGTTGCCCCTCCAAGGTGGCAACCACGCACCGAGAGTTGGTGAAAACGTTTGGAGGTGCTTGCGAGCGCGCAGAGGTCCCTCACGCAGTCCATACGTTGCAGCACAGCAGTGCTGAGGACGTCGTCGGGCACCGTAGCGACGTGGGATACCATTTTGGCCAGCTCTGCAAAAGTAGGGCTTTTTCGCAGTGCCTGCGTCAGCAAGCGATGAATTCAAAGTTTGCCCGTAGCAAATTATTTATCCCATTACAACATAAGAGATGCCAGGCAACTTTCCAGAAGATGCACCAAATTCTACGAAGCACCGCTCCGAACCAGTTTGTACGAATATCCGTTAAAGCGTCACTTCAAAACAGATTTAGGCACGATAGCGCAAAGATTCGTTGCGGTTAGCGACTTCCATCGTGTATTGCTTCCGAGCTGTTCTATGTGATCTTCTGCATCGTCCAAGCTGCTTGAACCTGGCGCAAGCGTCCAGGCACCTGGAGAGTCCGAGTAATCTACATTATGACCTAATCCACCAGGACCAATTTGCTGAGCCATGGCTCTCTATGCAGCCTTTTCATCTTCAGACCTGGAATTCAACTTCCCTCTGTCCAATCTGCTTCCATGTTCGAGCCAACGTAGCTTTTCTATCGTAAACTTATCCTTTTACTTTGTCTGCATATTCATATTGTTAACTGAGGTATTACGTGAGGAGTCTTGCACGCTGGCGCAACGGGTCGGTTGTGGCTAGCCTTCAGGTGTTGATGATACAAAAGATCTGTTCACGTTTTTTATCCCAGAGCGAATATCTCGCTTACATAGTGAAGCTTCATGGAGTTGATGTTACATATTTCTGCAATTCCATGGTAACGGTTGGTTTTGCTGGCCGTACAATGACGTGCCAGAACTTACGCAAAGTGACACAACAATTTGGAGAATTAAAATAGGGGGGGTACTTGTGCCAAGAAAATTTATATACACTTGTACAGGCGCATTTTGTAAATCGCACGCGCGCATCCGCGCGGTGAAATTCGCTCCTGGCTTTTTTGGACGATGTACGTCCCGTTTATTCGGCACAGTACGACCGGACACATTTGTGCGAGGGGCTGCTTAACCATGCTGCTGAATTGTTTCAGCGCACCCATACCTCTCTGGCGCACCTTAGTGGCAAAGGCCGTCCAATGAGTTAAAGCAAAACCTAACGCGGCTTCTAGTGGGATTGCGTCGCCGACTACGCCAACATCAATTTTTTAAAAGCGGTCGTTTGGTGGGCAATTCTCATTACTACCCACGCGGCTATTCGTGCCGAAGAACGTTCCGTAACCGCTTTTGCACCGTGCTGTATTGCGCTCCGCCATGGGCTGACGAGGAATCAAACATGACCTCGTTGATTAGCCCGTTTGTACGATGAAAAAGTCCACAGCGAGCTGCCTTGCAATTGCAAGCCTATATAAGCCTGCACTTTCCCTGGTCGATCTGGTGTATTTGCGTTTGAACCGTACAGTTTTCCGGAAGACCTTGGGGCCCCTGGCAGGCGCCTGCAACCCGCACACACACCCACACACCCACGCGAATCTAGAGCCCCTCTCCATCGTGGCACGCGTCTCGCGATTTCACTCTTCAAGCAAATCCAGCAATTCCGCCTCCAGCTACTGGTATTACGTAGCCGGCAGCGTCTGCACCAGCCACGCCCCCAAGGCAGGGTCGACCAACTCGACCCCTGAGTCCAAATTAAGCAACCCCTCCAGCCGACACAGGAACGCCTGATCCAAGTTGGGCCGCACCGCGCCCACCAGCGGCGGCAGTTCCGCCACACTGCCGCTGCTCAGCAAGGGCTCCCCGCCCAGGGCGGCGCTGCTGCTGCCGTCATCAGAGTGGTGCGGCATAGCGCTCAACAGCTTCTCCGTAGAATGCAAAAGGTCAGCAAGCTCCGAAGCCGATGGCGCGGCGTATCCCAGGATGTCGGTTGGGGCCTTGGGGCGCTCCATGCGACTGCGTAACTGCCGTACACGGTGCTGCAATTCCCGCACGGCCCGTACAGAGAAGGTAACTTCACCGCACTGCGGGCCTCGGCCGCCGCTGCCGTCGTTGCGCGGCATTGCGACGACGTACAGCAGCGAGGCATAGGTCTCCACCGGCGGCAGCGCTAGCAGCTGCGCCTCCGTCGGGACTGCGGCGGCGCCGCCGTCGGGCAGGGACCCGTCGGCGACCCAGGAAGCCGGCTCTTGCCAGCAGCCGTCTTGGCAATGCCATTGCGCCAGCACCGTGCCGTCGGCGAGTGGCGTTTCAACTTCCGCCGGTGGCGGCGGAGCCGCCGCCGCCGCTGACGCCTTTGGTGCTGGTGGTGGTGCTGCTGCTGCCTTGGCCGCCCCAGCCTTCGGCGGCGGCGGCGGCGCTGCCGCCGCGGCCGCTTGCGTGGCAGCTGCAGCCTGCGGCGGCGGTGGCGGCAGTGGTGGATCCGAAAAGCACGCATCCATGCCGTACTTGGCGCAGGCGTAGCGCAGCGCGGTGTGCAGTGCAGCCACCTTGGCCTGGGCTCGCGCACGGAAGCCGCCGCTGACAGGCAGCGAGTCAACCGAGCACAGAAGGCCCCCCAGGAGGCACACCACCATGCGCGCAACATCTGCGTCTGCAACGGGCACATCGGGGTTGCGACCAGCCTCTTTGGTGAAACGCGCCTCCTGGCCCTTGACATGCGCCACCGCCCAGTCGGGCAAATGCGCCGCCGCCACCGGAGCCAGCGTGTGCGAGGACAGCAGGACGAGGTCCTGCTTGGAAGCGGCGGCATGTGCGGCACGCAGGCAGGCGGCGGCGGCGCGCGTATCCATGCCGGCGATGTAAACTGACGCCAGCTCGAGCAGCGCCGACCTCATCAGGATGCGGAGATGTCCGCCGTCAAGGCAGGCCAGGGTAATAGACGCCATCAGCGCCGTACGGGCCGCGCCGAGCTTGGCGGCGGTAGCGGCGACGCTGCCGTGCCTTGCCATGCCGCCAGCAGCAACGGTGACTCCGCTACCCCCGTTGTCGTCGTCACCAGCTCCGCAGAGCGCAACCAGCCTCGCCGTACGGCCCAGCGCCAGGGCAGCCTCCGCATGCTGGGCCGGCAGCCCGCGTGTGTGGTGTCTCAGCAACCGCAGCGCCTGGGCGGCGTGGCGTTCCGCCTCCGCATGGCGGCACTGCCGCGACGCATGCACCGCGGCAACGCCTTGCGCATGGGCATATAGTGCCGTACCATCTGCATACACGTTGGTCAGCTCAGGCGCCGCCAGCGCCTCCCCCAAGCCCACCACCATGCAGTACAGCTCTGCCACCGCCAGGCCCTGTGCCGCCAACTCCGCCGCGTCGGCACGGAGACCCATCCGGTCCCGCAGCGCTGCCGCATCCAACAGCGCCGCCGCCAGCCGTGTGTCGTACACCGACAGCGAGCGATACCGCGCCACCACCGTCGCCAGCGCCGCTATCGCCTCGGCTGTGCGACCCTCCTGCGCCAGCACCAGTGCCTGAATGTGCGCCATGCCGGCGATGTGCATCTGCTCCTGCACCGCCCCCGCAGCGGTGTCCCGTGCCGACGCCGCCTCCACGAGCGCATGCACATGACGCGCATGGCCCAGCTGCGCCGCGCAACGCACCGCCGCGCTGCGCGCCAGAAACCACAGCACCGGCATCAGTGAGTAGCGCTCCTGCTCGTCATTATCAGCTCCCGGCTGAGGGGAGTTTATACGGTCGGCTTCTGCACCGATGAAACGCGCCGCCTCCAAGGCGTGCGCCAGTCCGCGGGCGGGGTGCCACCGGAGCTGCTCCAACTCGCTCTGCAGCAGCAGAGTACGAACCATGACCTCGCCACGCTGGCCTGTGGTGGTGGCGGGCGGGGCCGGCGGGCCGGCATCGGGAGGCGGCGCCGCCGGCGGCGTCGACGGCGCACCCTTGGCGGATGAAATGGGCGATTTGGAGCGGCCACGCGGGCTGGGCTTGGCGGGGGAGGCGGCGCGCTGCGGGGACTTGGCACCCCCCTTGCCGCCGGCGGCGGGTGGCGCGATTGGAGCTGTTGGGGGTTCAGCCGGCTGATCCTCAGCTTGCGCCATCACCTGTGGGGCCGAGCAAATCAACATGAATGGCTCCCGTGTCTCGCGGCAGATAGGTAGGACCAAGGAAATACCATGACGTGTGATTTGGAATAGGGCTGCGCACGCCCCGCAATGACAAGAGCTGGGGGGAAAACCCGGGGTTACACGGCTGGTGTGTGTGTGTGAAGGGGGGGGGAGAGGAGCGGCAGCCAATCACCCAACCGTTACTTAGCAGTCAACGTTGTCACCTGTGTGTGTGTGTGCGTGTCGTGGGTACTGGTAGTCTGGTGTCCGACAGGGCCGACTCTGTCCGTCATATTCCCTCCTATATAGCATCGCATCCCATAGACCAGTACTGTGCCACATGGGCCGCCACTACCACCCACCATTGCCTTCTTAAGCAGCTGGTACGCTCGCTCGAGCATCAACGGCTCCACCACCTCAGGAAGACCCGCGCCCACAGCCTCAGCCGCCGCGGTAGCAGCGGCTGCCGCTGCCGCCGCGGCGGCGGCCGCCGCACCGCCGCCCTTTGCGGCGGCTGCGCCGCCGCCGCCGCCGCCGCCCTTGGTCGTCGTCGGAGGTGTCACCGGCTTGGGCACCTCCACTCGCTCCCCCGTCTTCCAGTTCACATTCCGCCACTGGTTGGGCACACCGCCGGCGAGCATCAGCAGCTGCGCACGTACGAGCGCCAGGTGCGCCACAAGCCAGCTGCCGTACAGTCGTTCCACGGAGGGGTGCAGCTGCGTGTCGGCCAGGTGCATCAACGCGGCCTTGTTGGCGGGGTGGCCGGGGAGGAGGGAGTTGTTGAAGGGCGGCGCCGGCTCTACCTGCAGTCCGCAAGAAGTGAGTGGAGCAGTCGGTAGGTAGTGGCTAAATGGACATGGGCGAATGGACATTACAAGCGGGCTTTCGAAATGGCAAAGCACTTAAATTAAATCAAAATATATATCAAGGAGTGTGCTGCCCCATGGTCAATCGAAAGTCGATTTGTCCTTTAGGTATTCGGCTGGTAACTGGTAACTGGTAGGTAGGTGAACAGCTGCTGATAGGTACGTCGATGTTACGTGACAGGGAGATAAATACCCCGACTGAGTGGGTGGGGTAGAGGGTGAGTTAACTGGTGGCGTGTGGGTGTGGGGGTGTGGTTCTGGCCAGGTAAGCGAAGCTGGCGGCGCGGTGGAGCGCGGGAGGTGGAGGAGAGGGGGGCCCCGGTGTGTAAGGAGAATCTGAGCGGGTGTGGAGTGAGGTAGCGCGAATTAACTTTCAACATGTACATCACGCAACCTCCACATACGTATTCTGCAGCTGTTCACCTACCTACCTACCTACCTATTACCATTACATATATATGTATATATTCCATGGGGCCCCCGGGCTTTGACGGACACCCCCGCTTTCGCGTGTAACTTGTGTAACTTGGTAGCCCCCCGCGAGAAGCCCCCTGCCAGGGACCACCACTATCCAATGCCGGGCCGCAAACCCGTACTCTCGAACTCTCGCGAATTTGACCTAAAACCCCCCAAGACCCCCCACCACCACCACACAGGCACGCCAGGGAGCTTGTAAGTCTGGTTGTGTGTCTGTATGTGCACCTGCGTCGGTGGTGTCGTGTGCTCCTCTCAGTGCCCAGCTTGCAGTGCTTCCTTCTTCCTATGAAATAAAAGGACCCGGTCGCGGCCCCCTGTGCCCCCCGCCCCTTCCCCCCACCTGCACCACCGCCCCGCTGGCCTCCTTGAGCACGTAGTCCGAGTCCAGGGTGGGGTCCGGCAGCTGGCCGGCGCACATGAGGCTGGAGGCGGTGGAGATACCCTCCGACAGCAAGCCTAGAGCCGCAAGAGCGCGGCACCGCACAATCCTGACAGCAGTAGCAGTAGCAGCAATAGCAACAGCAGTAACAAACGCAGTAGCAGTAATAGTAGCAGCAATAGTAGCAGTAATAGTAGCAGTAATAGTAGCAGTAATAGTAGCAGTAGTAGTAGCAGTAGTAGTAGCAGTAATAGTAGCAGCAATAGTAGCAGTAGTAGTAGCAGTAGTAGTAGCAGTAATAGTAGCAGTAGTAGTAGCAGTAATAGTAGCAGTAGTAGTAGCAGTAGTAATAGCAGTAGTAGCAGTAGTAGCAATAGCAGTCCGATCAGGGCATTGGGGTATTGGAGAGGAGGTCAGAGAAACAGAGTGCGCTCTGCAGACACGACACGACTCGGCGTGTTGTTGTTCCTCCAGCCCACCCGTGGTGGAGCCTTTGGGCGTTTGGGGGTCACGCACACACACACGCGCACACACACACACACACACACACGCGCACACACACACACTCATACACATACACATATACACACATATAATCCACAACCCGAACCGACCAGATCTCTCCCACCCGCGCACATCGAAACCCAAATGCCCCAACCCATCAACCCCATACCCAAACAAACATACATACATACATACAAAACACATACCTACACAGCACGGTGCCATGCAGATTCCTTGTCACATCTCGGGACACATGCTCCCACAGCGCCACCACCGGCAAAGCCTCCAACGCCAATCCATTGTCCAGCAGACACACAGCCGCAGTCTCCAGCGCACCCGCCAGGTCACCCACGGGGCACCGGTAGGGGTCGTTCCAAACGACCCACGGGTCTGTCCCCGTGGCCCACAGCTCCCGGGGGGTGTAAGTGGCGAAACCCAGCAGCCTCTGCGGGTGCCCCAGGTGAGCGGAGAAGGTGCAGAACACCAGGCGGGCCGCCAGACGACATGCCTCCAAACGGAGGTGCAGGTGGTCGTGGTACGTGTAGCGGGCGAGCTTGCCGGACAGTACGGCACCCAGCAGCAGGCCGTGCAGGCCGTACAACTGCAGCGTGGCAGCGGGCGTCATGGGCTCCAGCTTGGGCCGCCAGTTTTTGATAGCCTAATTAGGAAACGTGGGGCACAAAGGGGGGGTGGGGAAAGCGTATGTAGGGGACGCAAGGGACGAAGATGTGGGATAGCGGGCAAGAAAGGCTTAGAAGGGTTGAGGCGCAAGAGGCTGGGAATCCGAAAGACTGGCAAAAGGTTCAGTATGCACCTCGCGCTGCTGTATGCGGCGGCTGTTCCTACATCATGTACACCATCGAATTCCCCCATTTTAAAAAGGGGGAATTATATTAAAAAATATATAATATTATAAAATATAAAATCTCTTCACACAGTCCCCCTCCGCGCCTCCAAGTACCAGGCACGTAGGCTTCCCAGTTAGTCCCCCCAGCAGGCCACCTCCAGTGCACCCGTACACCTGTTTTCCCCCCCCCTACCTGATAGGGCCCTAGCAGTGTATCCAGAGTGTCGTTCCATGCGGTAGCCGCACCCCCCCAGTTGCCAAAGTGCGCGTGCACGTCACCCAGCTCGTGCATGGCTAGCACCATGAAGCCCTTCTCATTGCGGCGTTTGAGGACCTCAATCACCTGAGCAGAAGAGGCGGGGGGGAAGCGGGGGAGGGGTAAGAGACGAGGGGTGGGGGGAAAGAGGTGATATGTGTGTGTATGTGTGTGTATGTGTGTATGTGTGCTGAAGGAGATGATGTTGCGCTGAACCCCTGCCCTCTCATTTCCTCACACGCACCCTTCCCCGATCGTGGCCACATCAGCTGAGCGATCTCTTCTCCCGCCATCCCCCCCCCTATCGGCGACCCCAACACACCCCCATCCGCGCCCCCTTGCCTCGCTTCTCTTCCCCCCCTTCGCGGCTCCTTCTCTTTCCGCTCCTTTCCTCCCCACCCTCCCCCCTTCACCACACCTTCTCGTACTCCGCAGGTATGCGCATGAAGTCGGGCTGGCTGGCCTTGGTCTTGAATGTGGAGGCCGTGCGGTAAGTGAACGCCGCACTCACCAAACTGGCCCCGTCGCTCTCCATACCCAGGCTGCGGAGGCTGTTGGCAGCCATGAGACTGCCAGTGCCGGTGGTGCTGGGCCGCCCGTCCGGGCCACTGCCGCCGCCGCTGGCCATGCTGCGCCGCGCCGCCACTGACTTGCGCTTCTTGCGCACCTTGTGCCCCATACCTTGCGCCATGAGGGAGGTCTCACCCAGCCGCTCACGGACCAGCAGGCGAACCTAGGGAACGGCCGGGAGACGCGCGCGGGAGGGGTGTGGATAGGCAGGGGGGCAGTGCATGTTAAGGGTTCCCCGGGCAGGCTAAAAAAATGAGGAGAAGAAGAGGGAAGGGGGGACAATATCAGCGAGCTAGCCGGGCCGCACTGCCCTCTCCCCCCTTCTCTCCCCTTCTCCCCCCCGTTTCGCCTGCTCGGCCGGTTCCCTGCCGTGATGGCCTCCGCAGACGACAGGTACCCAAAAAGACTTTGCCCTTTTGTGTAAATATCTCCACACAACAGCGATATTGCATCCATCCGCATCAAAACAAGGAATGTTATCATGTTATCATGGGACCATCGGGACCAAAAAACAGCCATAACAAACAAACATCATCACGACCAGCGTAGATCTTCCCTTCCCTTCCCTTGTTCCCCTCCCTCCTTTTACGTTTGCTACTCTCTTGCTCTGGCAGCAGCTTCAATCGTGTGTGGTTCGTCTTTCCCTCCTCACCTTATCCAGCTGGTCTAGGGCCTGGTTCTTGTCCCGAATCAGCGTGTCCAGGGCGGCCTGGAAGGGACCGGAGTCCACACCCGTGCGGGGGCATGCCTAGGAGGAAGGGGGGAGGAAGAGAGGGGCAGAGGGGAAAGACGAACCACGAACGAGTCAAGGTGCTGCCAGGGCAAGAGTGTACCAGACGTAGAACTGACCAAAAGGGGCAGAGGGGAAGGGCGACACAAGGGAAACAGCAATAGCAGCAGCAGCAGCGTTTGCGGCGGCGGGGGTTTTGATGTGGGTGGGGAAAGTCGGTTTGGAATGAAAACTCTTTCAGGAGAACAACAACCGGGGAGGGGTTCAAGGGCTGCGTAGGGTTGGCAGGGTTGTGTCGGGCGGGGAGAGAAGGGCTCCCAAAGTACCCTGAGCTGGTCAGGCGGTCAGGCGAAGAACGGTGAATACAAAATGGGGAGGAAAGAGACGGCGAAAGGGAGCACAGTGATGATGCTCCCTCCCACCGACATCCACCCATCACCCATCACTACCCACCGAGACATCCATCTGCCTGTCATTTTTCCTTCCCATGCCCTAACCTCCTGCCCATGCCCATGCCACCAAAACTTCCTCACCTGCAGCAGCCAGGGCAGTATCCGCTCGTTGAACGCCCCCTCGCTGAGCCGACTCCAGCACCTGCCCACCTCCACCAGCGAGTGCCACCTGTCGCACCTGCTCAGCACCACCACCACAGCCCCCACCAGACGGCTCACCCAGGCCAGGTCCAGGGGACCCTCCTTGAACCAGATATCAACCTGCGAGGCAGGAAGGGCCGCAAGGTGGGAGATGGGCGGGGCGGGAGGGAGGCCGAGATACGGGATGGTGCAGTGAAAGGGTGAAGGGTCAAGAGTGTGTGTGTATGGGTGCGGATGGGTGCTTGGATGGGTGCGGATGTAGGGGTGGGCGAGCACTCAATACTTATTGGTCTGAACGCGGAAAATACGGCCTTGTGACAACCAGGAGGCGTCTCCGGCGCCCAGGGCAACACATTGGCCCCGTTATCCATCCACATCCTCCTCCCCCTCGCTCCTGCTCCCAGTCGCCAGTAAACGGTCCTTCCCCCTTCCCCCTTCTACATCCTCCCTCAACCCCACCTGCCCATACCGCCTCCAAGGGGAACGGACCAGCAACCTCAGCTCAGACCAGCCCAGCCACACAGTCCCCCCCTCCCACACCTCCATTCCACACATACCTGCAGATCTGAGCCGTAGCTGAACTGGCTGTCCGACACGGCCGCTGTCTCAGGCCGGCCGTCCTCACCCCCACCGCCCTGCCACCTGCCCTCCACCTGCCCTCGCTCCTCCGCCGGGGCCACCCAGGTATGCAGCTGCAGCCCATCACGCAGCCGCCCCACCAGCTCCATCAGCGCCTCGGCGAGGGAGCGAGCCGCGCGGCCCATGTTGGGACGGCTACCCACGGGCAGGGGGTAGGTGCGGGGCGGGGGCGGGGGCGCCTCCTCTGCCGCCGCGCCCTTCTTCCTATTTCCAGTCTACACACGAGGGGGAGGAGGGGGGTCGGAAACGGGGGCCGGAAGGGACGCGGGGGAAGGGGTTCCCGATGAAGAATTTGATATGGGTAGGGAAATGGGCCGCAGCAAGGGCTGTTGCCTCAAGGAGCATTTCTTTGCGTGTGTGTTTTTATGATCTGAGCCGCGATGGGGTAAATTGCGGTGGTTGTACATCTGCGTGTCTGTGTGTCTGTGTCTGTTTGTGTGTGTGTGTGTGTGTGTGTGTGTGTGTGTGTGTGTGTGTGTGTGTGTGTGTCATCCTCCAAAGCTGTAACAACGAGCCCACGGGCCCATACGCGGCAATTGAACAAAGGTAGTGGAAGAACGTTGACAGTTGGAAGCAGCGGCGGATGGTTTTTGGAGGGAGCGAAACTCGTGTGGAGACACCGTGTGAGGAAGCAGCACAGCTGGATATGTACAACTGTTCAAACCCCGCCCCGCCCTCCCCGCCCCTCCTGCCTTGGGTGTAGTCTTCTTCTCCTTCTTCTCGTCCTCCTTCTTCTCCCCCTTCTTGCCCTTCTTATCCTTCTTGTCCACCACTGGCGGCGTGGCGGGAACCAGCAGGGACTCGGGTGGAGGCGGCGGCGCCGGCAGCAGCCCGCGCTCCCACGCCACCTTGGGCACCGGCGTCGTCGCCGCCGGGTCCTGATTAAGCACCCCCTGCGCAAGGTTCCACGCGTGCCGTGCAGCGTTCGCGACTTCCAACCACGCGCCGCCGCGTGCTGCCAGCTGCGCTGCCCGGGAAAAGTGGATCATGGCCTGCAGCCCTGGAGGCAGGGCTGGCGACGCTGTAGCTGCCGCGCCATCCGCCGGCGCGGCGGCGGCGTCAGCTGTCGACGGCGGCGGCGGCGGCGGCGGCGTGTCGGTCCCCTGCGCGGGGCCGTCAGGGCCATCATTGGCCCCGCCGAGATCCGCAACCACGGCGGCGCTGGAGGGGGAGGCTCGGAGGCCGCCGCTGGCTTGCACATTCCTTCGCGCCTCCGCTGCCGCCATCAGACCCATGACGATGTTCAGGCGGGACAGCCACGGTGCCCAGCTGTGTTTGTGTTTGTGTTTGACACATGGGCGGTCCGGTCCGGCGTCGTACAGACGAATTGTTCCGTACGAATTGTTCCGTACGATAACGGTGTGACGCCGGCCAATGTGCGATGCGAGGTGGATGCGGGGTTTTTGCAAAAGGAGAGAGCAGGGCCGCAGGGCGGGGGGGGGTAATGTTTAGGCCAGTGACTACCGGACGTGGCGTGGGGAAACGGCTCACGGTGTGTATGTGTGTGTATGTACGTGTGCGCTAATGTTATCGAAAATGCCTGTACGGGTCTGCTCATGCGTCTGCTCGTACATGTTCGTAATAACGTGCATGCCCCTATGCGTGTCTTGCAAATCCTCTATTCCTGCTCCCGTCAAGCTGCCGGTCACAATCACCCCATGTGACAAGGCTGGCTGTCCATCCAATCGCCCTCCGGGAGTCGTTTCGTGTAGCGCGGACAGCTTTCGCTCCTGTCTCTCCTGGCGAGGGGGCAGCAAATGACGCTGTTGCCTCCTGGCACTACCCCTGCCTGGCTGGGTGCATCAGGATCCGTAGTCCAGATCAGCTGGCAGTAGCAAGTTGGCAGTAAAGCAGGCTGAGTCCGGGCGAGGCTGAGTCCTCACTCACCGCTGGATGTTAGCGCGGGTCTTTTCGATGGTGCGTTTCCGCGCCAGCAGCTTTGGCAGTCGCCTCTGCAGCAGCAGCACTGCCGCCAGCCGCCGCCGCTGGGTGAGCTCCAGGGAGCGCACCTCCTCCGCGTGGCGCTCCAGGGCGGCCGCGGCCTCCTCCGGACTGAGCCCCTCAGTGGAGGGGGCCGGAGGCGCCACGAAGGCCACTTGGGTGGGGGTCAGTGCAGCTGTGTTTTTGCGTGTGAAATTGGGGGAAAGGAGGGTGACGCGGGTTGCCAGGGGAGTTGAAATAATTTAGTAGGATTTAACTATTATTAGAGTTTAATTTGGGACGTTGCGGGTGAGCTGCGGTGTGTGTGTATGTAAGTATGTGTGTATGTCATGTTTGGGTCGTAGCGGCGCTGCTGCGTAATGATGTGCGCGGGGGGATAGGGAAAAAGGGTGGTTGCCACCGGTTCTTTCTAACTTGCACAGTTTTCCGAGAGCGACAGCGGGAATGTTTCCTGCGGGGAGATTTGCGAGACAGAACTCCCCACGGAGAGCCCCCACGTGCCTTGGCGCGTTGTGTGGTCCTTGTTGCCATCGACGATCTGACTGTGCAGCAACGTTGCCTTCACTGCGGACCAGTGCACAGCTATGCAGACGTACATGCACATAAGCCCCCCAGGCATCCTGAGATGCACAACGCCACACCTGCAGCTTCTTCCAAGGACCATTTAGGAGGCGGCGGCGGTGTCGGAGTGGCCGGCGGCGCCGCCGCTGGCGCGGCCGGCGCCGCCGGAGCGCCCGCCTGTGGCGGCGGGTCTTCCAGCGCCGACAGCGGCGGTACCTTGCTTCTCGCCTTGACCCACCAGAACACTTGATCCGCCACAAGGGCTGCGTTGACGGGGTTGCCTTTGCGTACTGCCGCCTCCACCATTCGTACCACCAGCTCTACCCACCTGCGTCGGGTGGGGGAGGGTGGGGGAGGAGGGGAAGGGTCGGTGGGAAAGGCGACATGGAAAAGTTGCAGTTACGGTGAACTTGTGAAGGGAGCCTCTAACAGGCACCAAATCATAATGAATTCCTCCGGGAAGCCGTTGAGCAGGTCCGTAAGGCCGTGCGGAGGGCCCCCCCCAAGACTTGTGGAAAGGCCGTAAACACGCCTCCTGTTCCCCCCTCTCCTTCGCCTCCCCACCAGAAGCCTACATAATAAGCCGCTTTGCCTTCCCCATCTCTATTGCTATCTCCCACCTGGGAACCGAAACACACGCGCCCAAGACCTTACAGCTCACACCGCTTCTAGTTGGGCTCCCAGCAGCCAGCAATTCAAGCATGCATATAGCACAACCCACCTGGGATGTTCGGTGGCCGTCTCGAAGCCGAGCGCCGCCGTCCAGGCCTCCATCGGCGCAGCCGTCGCTAGCATTGGCAGCACCTTCGCCACCAGGTCGCCGCCGTCCTTCTGACGCTCCAAGACAGGCTCAGGCGCCCACTCCACCAACCGTGGGTGCTGCAGCAACACGTCGTGTAGACGCGACGCCTCGTCCTGCAGCGCCGCCGGCGGTGGCGGCCTGCCGACAATGGTGAACCGTGGGTCATAGGCCTTGAGCAGCTCCACCCTCAGCCGGCCAAAGTGCGCGGTGGCGGCGGGCTCGTCGGCGGCATCGCTGAGCCGCAGCAGCTGGTACGACACCGCCGCCGTCACGCGCGCCGCCAGTGCGCGCTGGTGTTCCTGCCGATGCAGCGAGTCTTGCACCAGATTGGTGAGGGAGGAGAGCACCAGATGACAAGCCGCCAAGGCCTTATGCAGCAGCGGCGTGCGCGGCGCCCGCAGCGCCAGGAGCGGCGCTAGTAACTGGTAGGCCCGCAGCGCGCCCTCCTGCATCAACGGCTCGTCTGGCAGCAGCGCCGCAACCTCCATACCCATCACCACAAGCCGCGCCGCCTTCAATCGAGCTACTTGCTCCTCCAGGAAGGGCGTCCGCAGCTGTGGCAGTGTGCCCGGCAGGGCGACCTGCGGCACAGGAGCTGCCGGCGCCGTAGGCGCCGGCGGCGCCACCGCAGCGCGCAGCAGCGCGGCTCCGGCGTACATGTAGATGTTCTGCACCAACGCGCGCAGCAGCGGCCGTGCCGCAGCTGCCATATGGACCCCGTGCAGCCTCTGAGCATCCATGGGATTGGACCGCCACAGCGGCGGGTCGGCCGCCGTGACGACAAAGTGCGGCAGCAGCACCCCCGCCGCGCGCTTGGCCGCCGCCCAGGCGCCACACCGTACCGCCGCCGCCAACAGGTGCGCCCAGCACATGTACAACGGCAGCGGCAACGCCAACAGCACTTCCGGCGTCGAGGCGCCAAGACCGCCAACAAGATTGCCGCCATCGTCGTACAACGCCACCGCAAACAGGTACGTGTCGTTCGTACGCAACCCCTGAATAGTCACGGACTGTCCTAACGGCACCATGACGCCCGTGCCCGGGTACTCGCTTGCGGTCTTGTTCATGGCCAGACCTACGCCAGCGCCAAAGGCCTTGCAGTACGCCACGTAGCGGGTCGGCGGCTTGCGGCCCGAGCCGGCTGGTGCCTTTAGGCCTGGACCCGGCGGATGGGCGACCAGCGTCACGGACGTGGGCGTGCGCTGGAGCAACTTGGGCTGCAGAGGCGTGTCGCGCCGCGCCCGTAAGTCGGGCTGCGAGGCGGCGAAGAGGGCGTCCTCGGCCGCTTGGGCCTTCACCAGGAGGTCGGCGGCTTCCTGCAACGGACGGGGTGGAGCGATCGGGGGGAGGCAGGTACGGGGCGGCAGCAAGTGTGGATCGGGACGATTACGTCAGCAATCCCTCAAAACCGAATTTCCACGTCCTTGCGAGCTGCAACGCACGAAAAACCTTAGGGGTGCAACGAGTAGCAGCGACGTGTAGCTCGTGCGTGGCGATAGCCAAGGAGTGCGGGGGGCTGCAACCTGCTGAGCGCAAAGCGGCGACCGCACCTGCAGAAGCTGAGCTTTCCGCACCGAGTCGTTCCCGGCAAAGGCCGTCATCTGCATAAGCAGCAGCGCCCGCTCGTAGGGGTTCTTGGCGCAAGCCTGCAGTAGCTCCCGCTCCTTCATCTGCGGGAGAGGCCAGGAGGACGCATGGGCGGGCTTTAGAGGTGAAGTGGGTGCAGTGGATCAGGAAACGAACACATGACATGGGGAGCGCAGCTCTTCGAACCGAGAACCACACGAAATGCGCATCCTGGGGTCCAGAGGATAGTTATTGGGAGCGGCGGCACATATGTCGCGATCGGCAGAGAGCGCTGACGGAGAGGCCGGCTGAGATAGCGAGCCTTCTCTCGGCGAGCTGGGGGGGTGCCTCACAGGGAAGGTGGGACATACGTACTTGCATACACGTACATATGCACGTGCGCTTTCACATTGAGGCCGGAAGACTTGAACGAACACACACACGCATTGCACGCAACCTGCATGCATGCATGCGAACCCCAGCAAAGCTGCGGCCATTGCAATCTGTCCACTGCACCAACCGGACCATTCCCCCAGCAAAGAGGACCAAACGGCGCACCAGCTCGCCCTCTCGTTCGCCGCGCCCCGTTCCCCGCATCCAGCCCGCCTCGCGGCCCCATCCACACCCATATCATACCCCGCTGACCCCGCTGCTGCCACCGGAGTCGCCCCCACCGCCACCGAGCGCACCCCAACACCTGCCTGCGGGTTAGGCGGTGTGGTGCTGGCGGCCGCCAGCCTCGCCTCATCCCGCGCCACCTCCGTCGCGTTACGCGGTCCAAAGATGCTGGACTGGGCGGCGCGGGTGGCCTGCTCCTCGAGCACTCGCGTACGCCGCGTACTGGCCCGGCCCTGCTGCTCCCCCAGCCCCAGCCCCAGCTCGCATCGCGCCAGCAGCGCCAACAAGTCCACATGGAGGCAGGCTAGCTCCTGCTCGCTGGTGGACATGCCTGTGTAGGAGGGTTGATAGTTGAGGGGAGGGTTGTGCGGTAACGGTAGAGGGCTGTGCGTAGAGGCATAAGTGGGATAGCTACCTAACGAAAAGTTCCCCTTCCGACGTGTGTAACTTGCAGCTTCCTTCTGGAGTTTCTTGAAACACTGAAAACCTAAAGTGTGATTTCCATGTACTATGATGCTGTCAACACATCGTTCTCTGTTCGGGTAAACTGTGTTAGACAAGACCACCTAGCCAGGATTCTGTTCCTTCATTTTTGATTATCCAAATCTTCGCCACCAATTTCACCAAATCATCAAATCCTCGTTATCATTCTGAGCGGTCAAGGGGCCGCGTATCGCGGAAAGAGCAGCCCTCCCAGCTCCCGCCCTCCCGTCCTCCCGCCCTCCCGCCGCGTCTATATATATTTTGACTGCCCAAGGACACGACAACACATGGGGGCGCCCAGTTTCATGAACCACAAGCAGGATCACGCAAGGCTCCACAAGGCCGAGGGGGCCCCTCCACACGTACCTGCCACCATGGCTGCCGTCTCGTCGCTCGGCTGGCTGCGTGACGCTGTAACCCAGCGCACGTGCTCATCCGTGCCGCGGCGGTTGGCCGCCATCAGCTCAACACGGGCCCGCTGAACAATGGATTTGGCCTGCAAAGCACCCGACCACAGCGGCACATCCTGATATCGCATGTACCGGCATCAGCCGCGGTAAAGCAGCACCCCGGGGGCGGGAAACTTCCATCATCACCCTGACTGGGTCAGACGCCAAGTGCCCAACCCATCCACTAGATGACGCGGGACGGCGCGTTTTACCCATCTTCGCTTTGCCTCCAACCCCCCCTCCTTCCGCCCCGCGCCCAGCACAAAAAGCCGGATCGGATCTGTCGATTTGCCCATACCAGGGCACAACAAGATGGGCCTTGTAATCAAAACGGCCCGCAGAGCAACCTGTGTCTATGTTCCAAATCTTCGCTGCCGTGTAGCGTTGCATTGCGAGGCGCCCCGATGACCTCCTGTCACAGCGCAACTGCTGGCCCATCCCCTTCGCCATCCGCACCTGCAGCAGCACCTCCTTCGCCTGCTGCAACTGACCATCCTGCTCCAGCAGCAACGCCAGCTTGAGAGCAGCGCTGACGTGCAGCTCTCCGTCATCCAGGTCTACCGCACTCCAGGCCGCATGGCAAGCTGCAAGCAGCTCCGAAACGGTGGCTGACTCCTTATCCTCCGCGCTGAACACGCCATCAATCAGTGGCCGGGCGCTGCCGTACAACGCCAGGGATGCGTCCGTGACGAGGTCGCGCAGCTGGCGCCAAGGCGTCAGTTGCGCCTGCTGAGGCTGCGGCGGTGCCGCCGCCAAAGACTTGGATGTGTTGGTGGCGGCAGCGGCAGAGCTCGCGGCGGTCGAGAGAGACCCGCGGACCAATGCCTGTTGGATGGCTGCAGCAAGCTGCCGCAACGCGCTCACCCCTGGCTCCATGCCCAGGCGCCGAAGCGCCTGCAAGAGGCTGCACGCGGTTATGAGCTGTGAGGCGCTTTGGTCGGTGTCGGCGTCGACGCTGCCGCCTGCTGCTGCTTGACCGGCGGCAAAATCCGCCGCTGTCCGCGTGGTGGCCAGCTCCGCCAGCTGCCCAAATTGTTCCCACTGCTCCAAGTTGTAAGCGGCGCACATAAGGCCTTTGTGGATGCCGTACGGGATCTGCCCTTGAGCTGCCTGGAGTGCCGCCGCCGCGTCTGGCGATGGCGATGGCGGCGACGGGCCGTCGCTGCCTACTGCATCCGCGGTTGGAGCTGCCGACCCCGTAGACGCCTTGGCCTGCTCCAGGGCCTTCCTCAACCCATCCATTAGCGGCGCCGCCTCCGCCATCGCTGCGTCGAACAGCTCTTTCAATGACGCGTCCGCTGGTTCACTCCGTACAATCCGACGATACGGCACGTGGAGCGCCTCCACCAGCGCCGCCAGGCTCCGCTGGGCTGCAGATGCAGCGGCAGCGGCGCCGCTATTGGGCGCCGCCGCCGCTGCGGCAGCCGCCGCCGACAGCTGCGCAAGCACTGGCGCGACGGGCGCCGCGGCCGCCACCTCTACCTTTAGCTGTAGAGCCACAAGCGTAAAGCGCGCGGCACTGAGGGCCGCCTGCACGTGGGGCGGCGGCGGCACGGGGTCCAGCTTTTGCAGCGCCACCAGCTGTTCGATCCGCTTAAGGCCGTCAGCCAACAGCGCACGCGCCTGCTCGGTCGCCTTGCAGTCGACGAGACCGTACACCGCCCACGTGTAGAGCTGCGTGCGCCAGGGCACGAATTTGGACGCAGCGAAGCACACGTGGCCTTCGAGGGCCTTGATGCAGAAGACGAGCGCAGGGAGGGCCTGCTCCGCGAAGCCGGCCGTGATCATGGCCTTAGCGATGGTGTACACGTGCACGCTGCCGTTGGCGACCAGCCAGTACAGCCGCTCCTGCGGCAGAGCCAGGGCGATGGCGCTGCGGATTTGGGATAGGCATTGCTCCATCCACTGGAGCGTATCCGGGTGTTTGATCTGAGGGTCGGTGGCCAGCAGCAGCGCGGCCTCGCACGCAGCGCAGCCAAAGCAGGCTTGCACGTGGCTGGATAGCCGCGTGAGCTCGTCCATGCGCGGCAGGTTTTCCCGCGTCGTGTGCAGCCCCAGCGCACGTACGCGCTTGAAGCAGGCTTGGAGGGCGAGCTGGTGCTGCTCCAACCTGAACAGCCTGTCGCCGAAGGCCAGGATGCGCGGCACGCTGGCGTATGCCGGCAGACGCGCCGCATAGTATGAGACGCTTTCCGCGAAACGTTGACTGAGCCGATGATGATTGAGGTGAGCATCGTGCACTTCCGGCTTGCAACCGCTGACAGGCGATAGAATGGCAAGCGTTTTGGTCAGCTCCTGCTCAAAGCTTTGACAAAGTGCAATAACCTCTGATGCCATGGGTATTTGTGGCGATGATTATTAGCTTATTGTAATCCGAGCCATATGCTAGCACGCAAGTGCTTTGATATTCCTTCGAAACCTGACAGCATTTGATGGCAGCATCGTAGCTATTTGGATTCTACACATGCACAGGTGATAGTCTATGCTACTTGTGGAGGCAAACGAGGTACCTGGAATCATTGATGGTAATCACAAGGCAACCCAAAACCGTACGAACTCCGCTATGACTCTTCTGCCTTTTTCCTTTTCTATATTAGAGACCAGGACGAATCTTGGATACAACGAAACACCTTTGGTTCGCGCCTTTCGTTCCGTAAGGCCCGAGGCTTTCTGATAGCCACGTAAACGTAATCAGCCGAAGTACTTGTTGCGCAATATGAAAGTTGTAGGGTATAACCACACGATCCGCAGCCGGCTCGAGGTATGTTGACTCACCCGGTATGCGGGGACTAGAAAGCAGCCAAATAAGCTCCGCGCTTGGTGTTTGCCGCAGAAATTCCGCTGGATTCTCTTTGTAAGCGTTCCGTTTGGTATCGGCTTTGGACTCGGCCGGATCCCTGAGTTCTGGGAGGCCGTCGAGCGCTGGGTGAGTGATCGACTGCGGATTGCGCTGCGCTGGGTGTACCACTTTGTCAGTCATTCCCTAAAAGATCCCTTATATGACACAAATGTGTAGATTGCGTGACAGTGTCATCAACCCCTGGCTCGTTCCGCTCCCATCCCGCAGCATCCTTCGGCAGCAACCAACCCAAAGGGCCCGTACCTGCCCAAGGAGCTCACTTCTCACAGGCCCACGCTGCAATCAGAGTACAGCACGCTCGTGCTTGAGGCTGCCCTGGACGCCGCCCTAGAAGAGGCGCGCAAGGCCAAAGCAGAAAAGGAGTAAAACGGGGAGCTCGCCCACACGAGCAGCAACTCAAATCTTCGTACAGCTGCCAGATCCCAAACCCTGTCCAACCCATCGCATTTTGAGTTCGATCAGCATCAGAAACATGGTGACGACCCGCAGTGGCGCCAGCTCCGCACCGCACGAGGCTGGCGGGGGCCCCGGGGCCGGTAAGCTGCTGATTAAGGCCCTGGTCACAGGTGGCGCGGGCTTCCTTGGTCGCCACGTAGTCCGGAAGCTTTTAGATAGCGGCCGGTACGAGGTGCACGTATTTGACGTCCGCACACTGGATGAACCTCGGCCGCACTCCTCCCGTGTGGGCGACCTGCGCAAGCCTGAGGATGTGGCGGCAGCCGTGGAGGGCATGGACGTTGTATTCCACATAGCGACGGCAGCCCCCACGGGTGAAAATGCGCTCAATATTGCGCTTATGAACGGCGTCAACGTGGACGGCACACGCCACCTGCTGGACGCATGCGTGGCGGCGGGCGTGCCAAAGGTTGTGTACACCAGTTCTGCTTCCGTGGTATTTGATGGGAAGCCGCTGTATATGGTGGACGAGTCGACGCCCTATGCTAAGCGACCTATGGACCACTATACGCGCACCAAAATCCAGGGTGAGCAGATGGTGCTAGAGTACAATGGCCGGGAGCTTTCCGGGACTGCGTTGTGCAGCGGCAATGAAGCTCCGACCAAGCTCTCGACCGTGGCGCTGCGGCCTAGTGGCATTTTTGGCGAGGGCGACGCCGTGTTCGTGCCGACGCTGGTGCGCAACGCGCGCGCCGGCAAGATGAAGTACGTGCTGGGCTCAGGTGCCAACCAGTGCGACTTCACGTATGCTGGCAATGTGGCGCATGCGCACCTGCTAGCTGCGGAGGCGCTGTCACCGGCATCCCTGATTGCGGGCAAGGCATACTTCATTACCAACAACGAGCCGAAGCCATTCTGGGGAATGATGGGCGACGTGTGTGAGGGCCTGGGCTATGGCCGGCCTCGCATCCACCTCCCCTTCATGTTGGTGTTTGTGCTGGCCATGATTTTTGAATATGTTGTACGGCCGTTGGTGCGGCTGCTGGGCAAAGAGCTGCGCAGCGACTTCACGGTCAATCGCATCTTGATTGCTACCACCAACCGTACCTTTAGCACCGCGCAGGCACGTAAGGATTTTGGGTACGCGCCCACGATCAAGCTCTCGGACGCGATCGCGAAGACGCTAGCTTCGTTCCAGGAACTCAGGGCAGATCATACGCAGCAGCAGCAACAGCAGGTGGGCAGCAGCGGCGCGGGCGTGAAGAAGGCGGATTGATTTCCTACGCAGCGAAGGGACTGCTGGCAGTGTAATGTTCGGGCGATGGGGCCGGGCGCTGGCTTGGAGGCGGTAATGGGGCGGGAAAGCGTCAGCGGAACTCTTGGTTTACGTTGGTATTTCTGAGGGTGATTCGGCTGCTGCTGTTGCTGCTTCGCGGCAGAATGGGCGATGGCGCGGGAGAGATTGTAGGGCTTGCATCAGCAAGACTAATGTATTTGAAGTCTTGATACTCAGCGGTCAGCGGCAATGTTCTCGACTGTGGTACAATTTAGCATCGGCGGTTGGGAGGTAGCAGGTTGCAGGATAAGGGAGAATGAGCTGTAAGCGTTGCAGTGGCAAGTTGGGATATGCGCAGAAGCGCAGGCCGCGGCGGGTTGTGGTTGCCATGGTGACAGATAGAGCGTTTGGCAGCAGTTATATATTGCAATTTGTCATGTGTGACTGTGTGATAACAGGTTTGCTGGAAGGATATGTGTCAGGAGCTTCCGGTTGCTGCCTTCGAGGTGCTGTGGGCAGCTCTGGCTGCATGAGCAGGGGAAGGCCATGTTTGTCAGGAAGCAGCGGCTTTGGCCCCCTGGGTAAAAGGGGCGTGAGGGGACGGCCTTGCTGCTCGATAAATTTATAAATCCTAGAGCACTCCCCTGGAGCATGAGGACTGGATGCGTTTTAACACAAAAATGTTAGCCTCAAGACAAATGTCCAAAGGTGCTGTCAGTGGATGATAGGACATCACGGAAAATTACTTGCACCAGGCTGGCTGGGCCATCGGGCCGGGGATTCCTGGCTGGAACCGGAGAATGCTGGGCCGGAGTAACTTAGGAAGGCCATTGCTTGAAGGCAGTAATGGATGACCTGGCCTGCTGATATAATGGAATGCTGGGAGCGGTGAGAATTGAATTTTATCAGAAGCAAATAGGCAAATGACCATGAAACGCCAGGTAACGGCTGCTCTTTTAGTCTTAGGATCCAGATTTGTAACCGATCTAATAAGTCTACGGGTTCAAACGACTGCAAAAAGTCAAATATCGTGTACTTTTCCTGTAATAATGCAAAGTTCAACAACCTTTCCTTCGTAAAGCTGGCTCTCTTTAGAGGAACTTCCAGCCAAAACCATGCCTAAGTAGGAGCGATGACCGACAATTTTGATGGCCCGAAATAGCTTGGCTGCGCTCTCTTCAAAGCTTTTATTCTTGCATTTCACTTGCTGGGGTTCCTTTACTTCTCTAGACTACGGCAGTGAACAGAGCAGAGAGCCCACCATGGCCCTCTGGAACCCCATGTAGCGTCTAACCGATAATAACACGATGCTTACTAACGTTCGTTGGCATGCCCAGATATATAGAGAGAGGCATCGTATTATTGCAGGATAGCCTTGCTGTCACGGCAAAATTGGTTTCATCAGAGCCTGCCAAAGCATATCACAAGCGGATTCGAGTGTGGCCCCAAACCATGCTTTTATATCGCGCGTTTCATGGCCGTCGCCTCGCATGCAAACAACATAGCCCTGCCCAGGACGCCAGTTCAGCCCCCAAACACCGACTTGGGCGTTACTGGGTTTTCGGTTGTGACTTGCAAAGGTCGCGTTATCCGCTCGATCTTTGGGTTGTGCGTCACTTTATCGTACCCATCCAGACACTTTTTCTCACAACGTAGACCTGACTAACTTAAACAACGTACAGGGTTACAGCTGTAACCGGACCGCAGGAGTCGTTATAGGGATGCAATCAAAGCAGCAACGGAACTTTCGACGGGAACTCGGCGACCAACCTGCAGTAGCGCATGCTGTACTTCCCGCGCACGCTTTACAAGGTGCACTTGCTGGATGTCTGATAACGGCAAATACTTTTAATGTTTTCCGTGCCACCCTGGAGTGTCGACTGGTTTCCAACAGGAAACGGAACCGTGTATCTCCAAGAGCAGTCTGTACTGCTTTGTGTACATCGGATACTCAATGGACATAGTATTGTGTACTGAGTAAACGTATAGAATCGTACCGTAACGATATGCTCGACTTTCTCCCTGCCAGTCGTCTTTCAAGGCGGTGTGTTAAACAACACAGTCTGCCATGAAACGCATCTAAAGTTATGTCTATAACGCTGCCTTCCTGGCACGTTGTGCCTTCCGTCTTTGTGGGGCTACTTCTGGGGAGCATCTTTGGCAGCTCGTCTGACACCTGGATACTGTAAGCATAGTTATCTGTTTACGCTTTGACTGGTAATAGTTTCCATCACATGCCAACTCTCCTTTCTGGCGCAATTCGCGCAGGCTCCGAGGAGCATTCGTCAAGTTCTCGGGCCGCAGCCCGTCACAGCGCAGACAGGTGGGTTGCACAATGTCATACGTATGGGGCCGAGCAAGGGTCTATTACACTTGCGCCGCGCCAAGTCATAACTATGCATGCAAGGTCGCCAAGCAGTTCCGGGTCCCCGTCGGTTGCAGGACGCGGCGCTGACTGCGGCCCAAAGCAGGTGGCTTGTACAGAACCTCGTCGCCAGGTGGGACGGGCGAGCGAGCGGGGTCCGTCCTCTCCTCGATACGCATGGGAAGGCAGATGGCGAGGAATGGACAAGAGGAGGAAGGGGGAAATGTGTGGAAGAAGGGGGAAATGTGTGGAAGAAGGGGATGGGGCAGGCAGGCAAGGGAGCTATTGGATCGGCCTCGGGATGGCTGTTCGCTTCCCCCCGTGCATAATTGTGTGCTGTGCAGTATGTATAACATCCCAACCAGTAGGAATCATTCCGTGCCCCTTGGGGCCCCCCCCACACTAAAACACACTTCTCCTCCCCTAGCCCATTTGGGTCCTGAAGTCCCCCGAGCCTCACGCGCTTTACCCGGTAATCAGCATGGAGATGCACACCCATCAATGCCACTGCATGGTTGCACTTGTACTAATGCTCCGCATTTACATTTACATTTTTTCTCGTAAATGCGGTGTGCATTAGCACATGCACCGCATGTACTACACCGCATTTACGGATTCATGCATGATCAGCATGTTTGCTTACTGTGTGCGCGCAGGCTTTGCGCCCTGACATTGGCCTACAGCCAGCTGTGCGTGCTGGTGAATAACGTGACACGTGACCGGGCAGGTCGGATGGGTGCGGGAGGTTTAGACGTGGTGTGGCTCCGTCGCGGGCTGGGGTGAAGGCACGGGGCGTGAGGGTAAGCGATCAGCGCTGTGACGTCAGCGTGACGACGGGCCATAGCCACATTATTTTGTGCGGTTCACTCACTTGCAAGTACCTCCCCATTGCGGTATTTTTGCGGGTGTTTTTGAACCTCACATCGCGTCGAGGTTCAGTGATTAAGAGAATGCACCAGCAGCTTAATCCTCTGGCGCGCTGGGCAAGAGGGATCTCCCATCCCCCACATCCCCACCTTCACCAGCTGATCTCCCCCCCCCCTTTTAGCACGCCACCAGTCGCCTCCCCTGCCGAAGCAAACACCCAAAAAAAGCCGGCACGCGAAGAGCCAACACCTCCTCCCCTTCCATTCCCCTTCCCGTCCTCCTCGCGCAGGCTCTCACTCCCACACACCCTCCTCCCCCTCCTCCTCCTCCCACCACCACCGCCATTACAATGACATCCCCCATCAACAGCCCTCACCATACCACCACCACCACTACCACCAACCGCACAACGCTACGCCAGCGGGGCCAGCAACCCTCGACTTCTCCCGCGTGCTGGCCTTATGCGGGGCCCTGATGCTTACCGGCGTCCACGCCACCAGCCTCTTCTGGCTGGCCTTGGACGGTCGCGGCTACGTGGCCAAGGCCCCGCGGTGGCACCCGCGGCTAAGCTTGCTGCAGGGCCTGGCGGTACTGGCCTGCCATTGTAGCGGCCGCATGCCGGTGCAGTTCCAGGTCCAAGCGATCAGTCACGGGCTGCTGCTGATCTTGCAGCAGGTTGGTGTGGTGGTGTGGGTGGAGAGTGGGCGGGGGGAAGTGCATGGTGGCGGCTTGGTGGCAAGATTTCAAGGAGACGTGGAGGTCCGCGCCTTTTAAAGGAAAGAGCGAGTGAAAGGAAAAGGGGAGGAAGGAAGGAAGGGAAAAAGGAGTCAGTACGTGCGTGCCGCCTCTGTGTGCGTGTATGTATGTGTGTGTTCAAGGTCGCCCGCCACCGCCGCCATACGTCCCTGCATTCGGCACAACAGCCGTTCCGTCCTCTAAGATTGTGCCCCTCTCGCCCGCCACACCACCACACACACACGACTGCCACGGTAGCAGCCGCGGCTGCTACTGCGTCCACCCCAGTGGTATAGTACTGAAGCCGCCCCGTTAACCAAGTCATCCACCTCGGCCGGAAAATCACCCGGTGGATGACGGCGGCGGGCGGCGGGCCCCTGCACCTGCACCCGCAGCCACCCACCCCCTTCCTGGACATGATGTTATTATTCCATACACATACATATTTTTATTTACTTAAGTGCCTACTTACTTACAGATATGACATACATACACTCACTCCCCGTAGGATTCCAAGGACCTCTTCCTCTTGCAGCTGGCGCTGGCGGGTCTGACCTACCAGGTAGCGCATGCAGCACAGCCGTATGTCCACAAGTTGGGAACTGCCGTACCTGGCAGCGGAGGCGGAGGCGGCGGAGTGTGCGATGCAGCAGCGGCCGCAGCCTGCCCAGCTGTTTTCGACAGCTCCCTGTCGTACAGCCCCCCTAGCGTCAACGCCGCCATGCAGAGCGCCAGCTTTCTGGGGATTATGTTGGCCCTGATCTTCCTTTATAACGTCTACACGTGAGTGTACGACATGGCGTCTAGAACGCTCACGACGCGTTGTAGTCATGGGCCCATGGTACCCGCTTCATTCTAGGTTGATGGGATGGGACGCGGTGGGATTCCGGAAGGGGAGATGGAGGTGTTCAGCGCGCTTCAGGGGCGCTTTTCCCGCTGTTGGAACTGTGTTGGGGTGTCGTTTGTGCGAAGCAAAGGGGCTCGGGGGCGTAGGAGGAGGGAGGGGCCGCAGTGTGTAGGGGCGAGAGCAGCGCCATGCTGTGCGAGGACCGGGCAGCTCTTCCTTGTCAGTGCTCCAATGGGAGGGGAAGGGGGAGAGGAAGGGAGAGAGGAAAAGGGCACTGCGACGGCTGTGTATGTGTGTATCTTTACGTATGGTATGTGTGTGGGCAGCCGGTGTGGACCGGCTGTTGGGGACCAGCCGAGGATGGTATAAAACCCCTCCCCTCGCACCTTCGCATCCAGCTCCTTTCCTTCTCTCCATTTTCCCCGCACATCGTGATTCGTTTAGGTTGGTTTCCCTCCTCGCCTCCCTTTGGTATCTGCTCCATTCGCTAGTGGGTCGTCTTACACAAATACGCCTCCCTCCGTCCCGACGCTGTCGGCACGGTTCTTCCGTACACCTAACTCCTCCAACCCCCTCGTTGCGCAGGAAATCCTTTTCCCTCCCGCAGCCGTCGTCAAGCCACGTGGAAAGGAACGCACTCGCTGCATCCTACATGTCGGCGTGCAGCAGCAGCCTGCCGGTAACAGGCGGAGGCGGCAGCAGCCTGGCGGGTACAGCACCGGGCGCTTCGGAAAGCGGCGGCGGTGGCGGCAGCGGTGGCGGCGGCGGAGGCGGCCTGGAGCCGTCCGCAGCGGGAGATTCACGTGGTAGCGACTCGCCGCGGCGCCGTATCAGCGGCCTCGCGCCGTCCTTGCTCCCGTGGGTGACGCGCCGCCGGGCCCAAGGCCGCAGCAGCAGCACTGCCGGAGCCGGCGGCACCGTGACGCCGTCGCCGCCGCCGCGGAATAGCATTTCTGGCACCTCAGCCGCAGCCGCTGGCGTTGGCGCCGGCGGCTGCGGCACTTGTCCCTCCACTAGCGCTTCCGTGATCAGCTGCGGCATACCCTCCGCAACGCAAACGTTTTTCGCCAGCAATTTCCTCACCCTGCGGCCCATGACTCGCGCGTACCTGCTAAAAGTGGGCTTGTCCCGTCTGTCTGCGGTCGTGGCCGGCACCGTGTTCTGCTGGGCTTTGGTCATGGACTTGGTGGCAGGCGCGCCCCCGCTTTCGCGCATGGTGTCGCTGCTGTCGACGGTGGCGCTGGTGGGTGCAAATGCGGCGCACGCGGTGCTGATCTGGCGGCACCCGTACGTGTACCTCCGTGCCGTACGCAAGTACAACTTTGCGACATGGGCGGTGACTGTAGCGGGGCTGGTGGTGAAGCACGTGGAGCCGTGGGTAAGTGGCGACTGGGGGGGGGGAGGAAGAGTGGAAACAGGAGGTTTGGGAGGCCGAGGGGGGGTCATGTCCCTTGTCCCTGGTCTTTGTGTTCCGCCCACTTGCGCGTTGCGTCAGCAGCTCATCAACACAATAGAGCTGTGTGCCTTCCTGTGTGTCGTGTAGGTATATATGTCGAAGTGGCAAGGATCCACATATCAAAAGCACTTTGGGAGCTTGTGAACGAGTGGATGGGGGCAGTGATGGGGGCGTGTGTTTGTGGGCTTCGGGTGGATGAATGGCCAGCTAGATAAATGGATTGCCAGCTAGATGGATGGACAGCTAGCTAGATGAATGGCTAGCTAGATGGATGAATGGCTGTGTGTCTCGACTGGTGGGTCAACAGGCCTATATTATTAATATTCGGTTACCTTCTTACCAAACGCAACCCTCGCAATGCGCCTAGTGCCAAACTATTTCCCTTTCGGGCTTTCTTCCCAAGGCACGAGCTTGATGGTTCGCTCCGCCATTGCTCCCCCTGTTACTCTGTCGCTTGTTTCAACCACCACCAGTATGCCCTCCACCACTGTGACGGCCGCACGCACACATGCCCCCCACGATGGCACGTACGCGCTCGCAGGTGTTCCGTCAGAACCCCGAGCTCATGGCAGTGGCCGTGTCGTTCGCCTCGCTGCACGGCTTCGTCCACGATGACAGTGGGCTGGTGTTTGCGGGTCTCGAACTGGTCATCTTGGCGGCGGCGGTGCTGCAAACGCTGTTGTGGGGCCCTGGGCTGACCGCATCGCCTGGAGGGCAGCTGGAAATGTGGGTGGATGGGTGCGGGTGGATAGATGGGCCATGTCCGGTCCGTCTCGATCAAAATCTCGCGTGATCTCCTGCAAATGAATACCATTGGACCCACCATTCTCTGGCCATCTTCCCTTCAACCCCCCCGCTTTTTCCCCTTTTTGCAGTCTCAGGGATTGCACCATCTACGGGGCCATATGCGGCCTAGCCTGCATGGCCCACGCCGTCAATCAGCAGTTCCGCCTTACCGGCAGACAGACCTCCTTCCGCGCCGCCGTACCACAGACTCTGCGCGTCAGCAGTAGCAGCAGCGCCGTCGTCGACCCGCGGGGCATTACCCGGGCGAGCTTTGACTCCTTCCTCGCCGACTCCCAGCAGACGCCGTCACCGCCACCGCAGCCGTCGCTGCTACCCCCGGACTTTCTGCTACAGCCGCAAGGCCAACCGAATCTGCAACTGCACCCGATTGGCCCCCACGTGTACCCCCCCCACGGGCAGCCGCTGCTGCCGTCGCCGAGTCGCTGGGCCGCCCTCCGGCACCCGCCCAAGCGGCACATGAGCCTGCTGACCCCGCTGGCAGAGGGCCACGCTGGGGCACCTGCGCCAACCTTGTCTCCACGCACCACCGGCGGCGAGGCATCCCGACTAGCCATCAGCAGCATCGCCAGTGATAACGACGGCGGCTTGTTGCTGAGTCGCAGCAGTGGCAGTGTACCCGCCGCCGCCGCTGCCGCCGCCGCAGCGACAGTGGAGACGGCGGCTCCGCTACCGTTGTCGAGTCACGGAGTCGAGACGGGGGCCACGGCCGATGTCGTCACCGCGCTGGCGGCCGCCGCCGCCACTGCCGCCGCCGCCGCGGGAGACGGATACGGAAGGGGGGAAGTCAGCAGCCTACCTGTTGATAGTTTAGCTGATGAAGCTTTTGAATCACCTGAATTTGTGTTCGTGACCGCTTCCGATTTAAATGCCGCGAGTGCGCTCGGCGCCTCAGCTCCGATACGCCGCGGCGCGTCTGCAGCCTCGTTCAGTTTGGACATGTCCTGTTCCTCGCTCGCTCCTGCACCTGCCTCCGCGCCAGCGCCGTTCTGCTCCGCCGCCGCCGCGCCGGCCGACGACTCGTTTTCCGCCACGCTGGGCGCTGAGGTACTAGGGGACCGCCCTCAGGTCCGCATGGAACGTGGCGGCTCCGTCGGCGACCTTTCGCCCCTGCCGTACAGCACCGCCGCAATTCGCGTCTCCGGCAGCGCCGCCGCCACTCGCATCTTGAACGTGCATTCGAGCACCTCTATGGATCAGGTATTAGACCTGTCGGCATCCGCCGCCATTGGCGACATCGCCAGGTCTGAGCTCGGCAGCGGCGACGGTACGGCGATTAGCGGTAGCAGCGTCGGCGGCCGTCGAGGAAGCCGCGCTCCGCCCTGTCGACACGTAAGCATCAGGATGGCAGCCCTGCGGGAGCCTGTACGGCGGCGGCGCTCCACCGCGACGACACCCACGTTATTCGAAGCTCCGCGTTTGATCCTGGGGTCCCCGGCCTGTACGGCCGGCGGGTCTGGGGAACTTGACGGCAACATATGGGATGCCGCACTGCCCTCTCCGGAGTCGCGGCCGTCGTCGTCGGGTCCCGGCAGCGGCAAGTTGCCGACGCTGTCGACGCAGCATCTGTCGCGAGGTGGGTCTTCCAAGGACTTGGCTTCGCTGCCGCTGCTGCAGGCGCTCGGCGGCGGCGGCGGCGGCACGGGCCGAGCTAGCGGCAGTATGACAACTGCCGGCGGTGAGGGCTTGGGGAGTTCGTTACGGCGGCTTGCGTTGAGTACGCAGATAGGTTGCATGAGGCGCAGCAGCGGCGGCGGCGGCGGCATGGGGCCTGTCACGGGCTGGGATTCGGCGACGACATCTCCCTCAAATTCGAAGAGTCTTACAGCGGCGGTGGCGGCAGTGGCAGCTGCGCGCCATCGCAGCACCCAGCCAGAACCTGAGGAGGTGGATGCGTTACTGCTGGCGGCGTGTCGGAGCCTGGAGGGGTCACCGCGCAGCTCCCCACGAAAGGGCGCATTCGGGCCGCCGGCGGCGGGTAGGGGCCCGGCAGTACCCGCAGATTTTCGTCTGCCTCCTCCTCCTCCTCCTCCTCACCATCCGTCGGCCATCCCCAGCGTCTTGACGAACGACGATGACATGTCCTCCTGGTCTGCGGCGCTAGCGGCCGCCGGCGGGTCGCCGCCCTTCCAGGTGTACGGCACCAGGAATAAGTCCCTGACGAGTAATACTCGGTCAGACTCTGCTGCGCAGGTTTCCGTTGGTGGCGTAGAAGAGCTGACGGCGGTGGCGGCGGAAGGACGCGCTTTGGAGGGGACTCTCTGTGCAGTACGGCCGGCAGGCAGCACAGAGGCAACGACGGAGGCGACGGCGGTGGCGGCGGACTTGAGCCGGCCTGGCGAGACCGTAATGCCGTCGTCGACGACGGCGACCGAGACGCATGTACGACAGCTTGTGGACATCCCGCATCTGATCGCCGTTGCTGGCGGCCTCTTCCGCCGCTCCCGTCAGGTGATCCCCACGCCGTCGCCACTTGGGCTCAGTACCACTAGCGGCGGCGGCGGTGGCGGCGTCGCATTCGTCCCTGACTCCATGGATGGCACAGACGACGCGGCGGCGGCGGCGGCGCCGGAGGCAGCATGGGCGCCATTGGCTGCGGAGCAACAGTCTGGCAGTGAGGATCGCGGTCCCCTATCGCCCGAGCTATCGCCCGGAAGACCGCTCAAGGTCTCCACGTCCTTACCCACGCTGGCGTTACGTACGGTGGTCGACGCCGCCACGACGCCAGTGCCGACACAGTCTGGTGCTGCTACTGCCGCTGCGGCTGCTGCTGCTGGCCCGCGCGCCGCCGAGCGCGCCGCTGACGCTACCGCCACCGCAGCCACCGCGGCCGCGGCGGCGGCGGGAGGCGCGCTGCGGGCGCTGGGTCACCAGCTCCGCCGCCTGACGTCAGCTCCCGCCAGCCGCGGCTCTTTATCGGGCAATCAGGGCTTGCAAGGTGCTGCTTCTTTAGGAGGCGCCAGCGCGATGGACGCTGTGGTGGGGGGTCTGGAGGGTTACGTTAGCCCCATCCGTATGGGCCTGGGGAGCCTGCTGTTCTCCTGGCGGGGTGCGGCAGCTGGGTACGGCGATACGTCTGTCGCCGCCGCCGGTAGCGGCAGCGGCGATCCGTCGCGGATAGAGGTGCGTTTCCGTGTGATCCTCTGCATGCTTGTCTGTCGCTTGAACGGCACCAGTTTACAAAAAGCGCATCCGCCTTAGCCGGCTGAGCTACCGTCTCCCCCAGTCTGCCTGGTGTGTATTGGCGCGACAGCCCCATGACATTATACACATACGCTGGGTGTCAGTGGCTGAGCGAGGCGCTTCTTGCACGGTGCCGATCTTCACCGCTGCGCCTTTCGACGGTCTTGGGTTGTGTGCGCCGCGTGCGCTGGCAAAGCAGAACGTTCCTTTCCTGAAGTTTGTTGCGACGATTTGTTGAACTTCTATTTCGGGTGTTTCGAGTATTATGATAGGCCGCAACGTGTTAATCACTCGCCAGTTTTCACCCCTTCCCCTTGGGGGCCGGGCCCACTTCCCCTTGGGGGCCGGGCCCACTTCCCCTTGGGGGGCCGGGCCCACTTCCCCTTGGGGGGCCGGGCCCACTTCCCCTTGGGGGGCCGGGCCCACTTCCCCTTGGGGGGCCGGGCCCACTTCCCCTTGGGGGGCCGGGCCCACTTCCCCTTGGGGGGCCGGGCCCACTTCCCCTTGGGGGGCCGGGCCCACTTCCCCTTGGGGGGCCGGGCCCACTTCCCCTTGGGGGGCCGGGCCCACTTCCCCTTGGGGGGCCGGGCCCACTTCCCCTTGGGGGGCCGGGCCCACTTCCCCTTGGGGGGCCGGGCCCACTTCCCCTTGGGGGCCCGGGCCCACTTCCCCTTGGGGGGCCGGGCCCACTTCCCCTTGGGGGGCCGGGCCCACTTCCCCTTGGGGGGCCGGGCCCACTTCCCCTTGGGAAGGGCGCTCCATAAAGGGGATGGGAAACCACATACACACACACACACACAACATAACACCCGCGTTGTGTCCCCTTCCGGCCGCCAAAACCGCAGGACTCCACCCCGCGGGATGTTGTGTTTGGCATCATCTACACGGCCCAGCACGCCTTGGACCTTGGCCACCTACTGCGCGCCTTTAAGCCGTCTGAGGTGACGGGCACATGGGTGGCGGCGGCGCTGCTGTACGGCATCACGCTGGTGGCAGGGTTGCTGTACTTGGCGGCGCTGCGCCGCGGCGACCGCTGGGCGACGTCGCAGCGCTTCCGCCGCGTGTTTTGGGCTCTGCGTCTCACTGTGCTCCACGCGCTGCGGTCTACGATATACACGGTTGCGGGCATGCAGGTGCAGGGGCTGGGGCCATAGCTTCGTTTGTGTACTTGTGGCCGTCGTGCCCACTTCCCTAGCTGCAAAAGAAGTTAGTTTATGAGGTAAGCCGTCAGCAATCAGCCAAGCATGGCGAAAACGGAAACCGTTGAACCAGCTGAAATTCTTTTTATCCTCAGCGGTATATATGTTTACGCGGGCTTTTATTTTTGTCTTTATTTGTATCATACACAACTCCTTTGGTAACATTTGGAGGAGGAAGTGAAATTAACTTTTGATGCCGGTGGATTTGCATTGGTGATTGGATAAGCCCTGAGCGCTTTGAGCGCTGTTCTCTTCTGTTTTCTTCTCTTCGTCGCTCTGCACCTTCTTCAGCCCCATCCCTGTTCCTGTTCGCCTCCGACCGACTACCAGGTGCCGAGCCTGCTGGGCCGCTCTCTGGTTTCCTCAGTGGCATTCGGACTGCTGGGACTGCCCGCTGACATATTCCTGCGTGCCATGCCAGTAAAGGTACGTGTACGGCATGTACGGCATGTGCGACGATCATTTGGCGAACCTCTGGCGAGGCGCATGCGCCGTGGCACGACAGGGAGGCTTTCCCTCCCGGCCGTCGAGCCTTTCGACTTCTCCTCTGGTACTTGTTACCTTTAATGTTATAAATATGATCGAATATGGATCACTGCAGATCCTTCTGGTGCTCCTTCTTCACTGTTCATGCTATTCCTCCTTCCTCTCCTTATTCTGTCGTCCCCCCACACCACACCACCTCGCCGCGCTGCCGCAACCGCCGAGATTAATTGATTTCGGTCCCGCCGTCGCTTCTTTTCGCTTCGCTTCGTTTCGCCTCTCTTCTCTTCTCGTCATGCGCCGCAGATAGTCGTGGTTTACTGTTTGAGCTGCGTCAAGGACGCCACGAGGTTGGAGCCCCTGCGCCTGGTGGGAGAAAGAGAAGCGGAGGGCGGGGAGGGGGGGAGAAGTGTAGGGAAGCGGGTGATGAAACGAAAGAGGAGCGGAAAGAGGGGAACACGGCGCCGTCTCCTTGCAACTGGGGACTTTACCCTTCGACAGCTTTGTCGGCTGTCCCCTTCGGTAGGGAAGAAGGTCATTAGGGCCGGAGAGTGCAGCAGTAACGTGACCCTGAGGGACTCGGAAGGGAGGGTTACCCTTCTGTCCCCCGGTGGGATGTTGCGAGACATGATGGATTGGTGGGGTGCAGTGCGGAGAGGCGGCCCAATTCTTATTGCCTTCTTGTCCCGCCCTCTTACCTCGCCGTGAGTCCCGTCGGCTCCTCACCGCCTTGATTGGCATAATGGCAGCGACTGACGGCCTACCCAGAATATCCTGAATTGGAAGTCTGGTGCAGGAGGTTTGGGGGTTGAATTGGTAAGAAATGCGAGTAGGGATGTAAGGGATCAACTACAGTGGTGCTAGTGGAGCAGCAGCGCATGCGACCTGAGTGAAGGTTGGATGTCGGCCTTTGCTTTGTGCTCCTTCAGGAGTCGCCCATGTACCTACCTGTCTGGTCGTTTAGGTTTGGGTCCGAGTCCTCATGAACCCCTTTTCCCCGCCTTGGTGTTTGTGCTGCTGCTGCTGCCTGCTCGCCTGCCGCAATCCAATCCATCCTTCGCGCGGGCCTTTGTAGTTGGTGTCCCTCGCCACGTACTTTGTGGCCTCCACCCTAGCATTCACCGCCGCTGCCGCCGCTGTCAACCGCGCTGCGCTGCGGCTGCACCTCCACGCCGCGGTACATTGCACCATCGACGCCGCCGCCGCCACTGCCGCCTTGGAAAGCAAGCTGGCTGAGCGCGCCACAGCGGCGGCGGCTGACGGCGCCGCCGGTGCCGTTGACGACGACAACGATTTTGACATCGGCGACTCGGCTTCTGACCTTATCGCGGCGGATGAGAGGGACATGGGCGACCTGGCAGAGGACGTCTTGACAAACCACCGTAGAATGGGCTGCGGCTGCTGCAGCCTCACCACTGCGGATTTCGGCGTGCCGACGATGGCGGAGCGGGATGGGTCGGGGGGACGGGCGGGGCCTGTGTCGGCGGCGCTGTCGCTGCTGGCATGTGCGCTGCGTAATGGCCTCCCGGCAGCTTTCGGCGCCGCCGCGAGTGCGCATGCTGCAGAGAGTTCGGCGGAGTCGTCGCAGCAGCAGCAGCAGCAACAGCAGCCGCGTGTGGTGCCGAATCCGCTGCTGTGCTACTGGAACACGTTTTGCTCGGACGGCAACACGCTGGCTTCGACTGTGTTTGCCTTGTTGACGCTGCTGTTCGCCTTTGTGACTCGTCTGCTGTTGCGCTATGGGGAGCACAAGTCCGGTTACGAGCCGGACCCGTACTTTCTGCTAGAGCAATGGGTGAGTGCTATTTCCTGCGCGGGTGATTCGCGGCTTGGACTGGAGTTGGGCCCTTAAGCTTTTAACTGGAAGTGGATGGGTTCAAAAGAGTAATTTTCGCTCCTGCTGGCGTAGCTAGCTAGTAAAGGTCAGCTAATATAGACAGCTAGCTATCGTAAGAACTCTATTATTTTTGTGACGTCTGGCTCTGGCTCTGTTCGCAGCGTCCTTCTCGTCTTGTGGATATTTTAAGTGCAGCTTATCCACATGTATATCACATACGGCATATATCACACACACGCACACATACGTATTCGTTTGGAACGAAGACGAGAACGGAAGAAGCGATGTTCCACCAGCACATTTTTAAACACCAGCGCACTTTGGCGCGAACCCACAGATTCTTCACGGCGTCGAGGTTGGCGTGCGTGCAGTGGTAGTCCGGCTCAATGCGGCGGAGGGGGTGTCGGGCCTCCCGCAGACCGCCCTGGCGCTGTCGCTGTTCCTGCTGGCCGTCTCCTGTGTGGTGATCAGCCAGGTGGTAGCACTGGCCTTCTCGGCCTCTGTGGACCCCCGGGTGGCTCTGTACCAGCAGGCCATGGCGGAGCTGTCCGCTGCCGTATCGTCCATGCAGCTGCAGGAAGCTTCGAGACACGCCATCACAGCCTCGGTGGACAAGTACATGGGCGAGGTGGGCGCATGCCTGTCTGTCTGTCTGTCTGTATCCGCATCCGTTTGCGTTACACCACCCAGTCTGACGTTGGGAGCCGTACGGCGGCCCCGGAGGTTATGAGTAGCTGACCCGCCCTCACGCCCTCACTAACGGAACGACCGTGTAGTAGGCAACCGTGCTTTTTTATAGCGATGCTGAGCCCCAAAACGTATTTTGTGTGTGTGTGTGTGTGTCCAATTTCGCGATGAGCTGCTCCCCGACCCCTTTCTCCCCTCAGGCTCTTGACAGCTGCTCCGCGCTCCTTGTGCTGGTGGAAGCCCAGACTACTCGACCCGCCACCTTTGACGGCATGGTTTCACCCCTGCTCTTCAAGTCTGTCGGGGGCCCTCAAAATAGCCGACGGAACCTGGGGGCAGCAGCTACTGGTTCCGGTGGCCATGGGGGCGGGGGCGGGGGAGGCAGCGCGGGGGCGACCTCACACGGTATGGAGTACGACACCCACGCCACGGTGTATGTGCTACATGACAGGCTGCTGGGGCCTGACCTGCCGCCGTACAAGCTGCCTTTGGAAGAGGTGAGGAAAACGACGTATGCAGTGCGGCTGCATACGGGGCCACCTAGTGGTCGAGCGGCTTCCGAAGCGGACGGGGGGGGGGGGAAAGACGAACCACGAACCGGGGGGGATTCCGATCAGACCCCGGCAGTCGCCAGTTCAGACTCCGCGCGGGAGCCGCTGTGGACAGTAATCAGCGCGCAGAGACGCGAAGTGAAGGATGAGGGAAACGTTTTCGCTTGCGTTGATATGCAAGATGAAGAAGATGACCTTTCCCATCTCGTGTGATAGTGGACAGTTTCCGCTCCTCAAACTCGGAGGGCGCAGCCGGGCCCTGCCGCCCTGCCACCTGCGGCCACTGCGGACTCCAGTCCCGTTCGATCTCCTTCCCTCCCTTTCCCTTCCGCTTGTTGAAGCCTTTACCGCTGCGGCTGCCTTCTCAAAAGTCTTGTGCCATCATCCCCTCGTGCGGGCATAAAATTCATTCTCTGCACAGGGCTACCCTGTCGTACGTACGACATATGGCCGTATCGAATGCCCTCCAGACCTACCGCCGCGCCATACCTACCACCCTGCCGTCCGACATGCCCCCCCCTCGTGCCTCTCCTGCTGAAGACCCCGGCCGCGTCACCCACACCGCTGACTGACCCATGGGTCGTCTCGCCCCCCACCCCACCCCACTCCGCCTCAACCCACACCCCCGCAGCTGCCCAGCGTGACAGCCGCGCTGCAGGGCTGTGTGCCGCTATTCACCAACGATACCACCAAGGCCAGTGAAGACCTCATGAACCGGTCAGTGGAAGAGCAGTAGTAGTAGTAGTAGTAGTAGTAGTAGTAGTAGTAGTAGTAGTAGTAGTAGTAGTAGTAGTAGTAGTAGTAGTAGTAGTAGTAGTAGTAGTAGTAGTAGTAGTAGTAGTAGTAGTAGTGGGAGCATAGTGAGGATCTATCTCTATCCCACATGCTGCTGGCACCCCGCGACCCAGTGGGGGGGCTAGGGGGCCGCAGCTGTCCTCCTGATCAGCAGCCCGCCCTTGCTCTTATCTGGCGGCCCCCTGGTGGGCCCCTCCCACCCTGGCGCACATGGGCTCTCCTGCATTGCGATTTACATTTTTGATGGGTCGTGATGCAGCTCCAGGTGGTGACAGACAGACATAATGACACACATCATGTCACACATGTCATATGTGGAGGCATCGAGCTCTTTGATGTGCGCTTTGTTGGGATTCAGGGCAGCGCAGGGCAGGGCAGACGAGAGAGGGACGTGGGCCAGCAGGGCGAGGTTGGGCCGGTCCTTGAACTAACGGGGCTTAGGGTTTTCAACGGTGTTTAGGGATGGAGAGGGACGAAGGTGTGGAGCGCGCGAGGACCGCTGGGGCCGGGACCCGCCTCACCCCAACCTCACCTCGGGGGGCCCTGAGTTTGACTCTCCACTTCCTCAACATAGCTAGGGCTCAGGTTCCCGGCCGTGTTTGCAACCCGCTCGCGCACGCCCCCCAATCCGCGGCAACATCACATCACACACGTACACACCTCCCGACCGGGGGGCCCCCCTTCGTCAAATCCGCAGTTTTGGCGACTGGCGCAGCGCGCGCGACGTGGAGGGTGCTCGCAGTCTGTGTGTTGTGCCCATGTGCTTCAGCGGTCAGCCCCAGGGTGCTCTGGTTCTTCACTCTCCCCTGGCGGATGTGATGGACTCGTTGTTTGTGAGCATGCTGCAGGCGCTGGCAGCGCAACTGGGGCAGGTGGGGCTGGCTGGTCGGTGCGGCGGCGGCGGGTGGGGTGGGGGTGGGGTGGACCTGAGGCTGATGGGAGAGTGTCTGATGTCCGACTACCGGTGTGTGTGTGTGTGTGTGCCGGTCCATGACCCCTGTTGCTCCGTTTCCTTGGCAGCTGGGGCACGTGCAGTTGACACCGTACGTTATGATACTGTGTTTGCTAGGGGTATGGGTTCCTGCTGCTGCTCTGTTGACTTTTTACCTCTGTTCCATTGACCCTTCTGGCCTCGGTAGCCGTTCTTCACCCTCCTGGCCGACTGGGCTGCTCCGCCTCCCCCCACATTACTGCGCGCATTATGCCCGTCCCGACCCGCCGCTCGTCACGCTGCGCTTGTTTGGCAGGTCATGTATCTGAAGCGCGCGCTGGAAGATGTCCGCGCGGACGAGCACCTGCTGTCCGACCTGATGCCCTCCCACGTGGCGCACACCCTCAAGCGCCGTTTCATGTCCAGTCACGAAGATGCGCTCACGCTGCCCATGTTCGCATCTAAGGCGGCCTCGCAGGGGCCACCGGGACTGGGCCCACCCATGGACGCCGCCAGCCTGGGGAGCTTTGGAAATGCCTCGTTTGACGGGGGGTCGCTCCTGTGGAAGCAGTCAGGCGGCGGGGGGCTGGGGGGAGGTGGCGGCAGCGGCGGCTTCGCCACCGTCAGTGCCGCGGCTGCCGCCGCGGTAGCGGCGGGCATGCCCGGCGGCGGAGGCGAAGCCGCAGCTGCCGCCCCTGCCCAGATCGCCAGCGCACTGGCCAGTGGCGGCAGCGGCGGCGGCGGCGGTGGCGGCTTCTTGCAGGGGTATGCATCGGGGGGCCCTAGCCTAGGTAGCGGGCAGGGCGGCATGTCAACACGGCGTTGCGGGTTGGCTGCCGCGGGGTGGAGTGCCGCGGTGCTCGCACAGCAACAGCAGCAGAACTCAGGGGGCGGGGGCTCGGCGGCGGGGGGAGGTACGGCGCAGGACCTTACTGGGTTGACGGAAGCGTTGCCGGCGGGTGCAGCGGCGGCGACCGCGACCGCAGCGGTGGCGGCGGTGGCGGCAGCTTCCCGAATAGGTCCCGCCGTGACGTCGCTTGAGACGGCGGTGGGTCTCGTGTACCAGCAGTGGCATAGCGACGTCACAGTCCTGTTTGCGGTGAGTGAATGAGTGAGTGAGTGGATGGGTGGGTGGGTGGGTGGTTGAGTTGGGCACCGAGGAATTCTTCGTGGATGCCGTTTGTGGTGTTACGTGTTGTGTGCAGCAGGCCGCTGGGTTACCGCAAGGAGGGAGGGCAAGAAGCACTCCCAGCCACTCCCCCATTTCTCGGGGTCTCCCCAAGCCCCGCACCAAACCCCAAACCCCAACCTGGATCCCTCAATCTCAACCTCAAACTCCCCAAAACCCGCTAAAACCCGCTAAACCCACCTTTTGCAGGACATTGTGCAGTTCACGCCTATGAGCCAGGAAATGGAACCACAACAGGTGAGTGCGCATCCGGAGGGGAAGGAGCCGATCTATGATGTTATGATGTTGTTACAGGGTGGTATAGCTTCACCAGCGGCCCCCTTTCCGGAGGCAGTTCCCTGCTCTCCCCTGCGAGAGGGGCACCCTAATCCATTCACCCCATCCGACTTCAGAATGTATTTGTTGGGTTCAGCAACTCACCACCAGCATCCAACCAAATCTAGCGGATCAACGGCGCCACAACTTAGTTCCTGGTCAGCTTGCAAGTTGATATAATCACGTCCTACACCGTCGATAAGATGGGTCCTACCCCACACACACCGAGGGGTAGGCAGGTGGATTTGAATCCGGAACCTCCGGGAGCAGAAGTCCTAAGGCCTTATCCTCAGCCAGCCACCTGCCATATATGCCGATCTATGTGCGTTCCGTTGCCGAAAATTGCAGAATGCAAGTATGGCGCTGTCCTGTTGCACCCACCGTGAACGAGGCCTCGTCCTCCGAGGCAAAAAGAGGAAATCCTGCATTTGGCTTGGACCGGGCCCCCTCTGCCCTCGGGGGGCTTCGATCAATAGACTCGTCACCTCGGGGAAACGCTAATCTCTCATCCCCATGAACGTGGGATATTCTGCTGCTTCTGGTATTGCCGATGCTGACGCGGCTATTGCTGCTATTGCTGCTATGCTGCGGTTGCAGGTGATGATGATGCTCCACGAGCTGTTCAGTCGTTACGATGCGCTGCTGGACCGGCACAACGTGTACAAGGTGGAGACCATCGGAGGTGAGGACGCGCAGGAACAAGGACAAGAATTGCAGTAGCAGCAGCAGTATAGCAGCAGTAGTAGCAGCAGTAGTAGCAGCAGTAGTAGCAGCAGTAGTAGCAGCAGCAGTATAGCAGCAGTAGCAGCAGCAGTAGAAGCAGCAGCAGCAGTAGCAACAGTAGCAGTAAAAACAGTAGAAGCAGTAGCAGCAGCAGCAGTAGAAGCAGTAGCAGTAGCAGACTGTGCTGTGTACTCCATGTGCCTTGCTCGGCTGAAGGCGCGGCTCAGTTCGGCAGCAGCAGCAGCACCAGCACCAGCACCAGCAGGAGCCAGGAGCGTCCTCGCGAGGTGTCCGTCCCCCCCGCGACATTTCAATTAAGTCAACAAACTAAAACCACAATTGAAAAATACAACCCTTCCAAATGTGGAACGCACCTCTACACAACGGCAGCGACGGCGTATACCTCCTAGGAAAATTGCTCTGGGTGCGAGTCGTTCCTTGGACTTCCAAATTTTCAAAAGAACCCAAAAATGACAAACCCAAATCATTTCATATTCATTTGGGTATCGGAACAAGAAACCATTACGCTCCCGCCCCTTCACTTCGGCGTATGCACTCCGCTTTCCTTTACAAAGACACCCATCCCCTCCCCACCTCTCCCCACCCCTCCCCACCCCGGCAGACTGCTATATGGCAGCGACGGGTCTTCTGGCGGATGACCCCGACCACGCGGCGCACATGCTCGACTTCGCAGTGGGCATGTTGGCGGCGGCTGCCACTGTGGCTGTTCCCCTGCCAGGTCGTGGCAATGTGCGCATCCGCGTGGGCATGCACACCGGGCGAGTGATGAGCGGCGTGGTGGGGGCTGTGCGGGCCCGCTACTGCCTGTTTGGTAAGTGTGCGTTGCGTTTGGGGATTGTGAGGATGGGTGGTTGAGGTGGCGAGGTGCCCTGGGCGGACGCCAGGCTTAGAAGGAATTGCACTTAGGCGTGTGGTGTTTGGTGGTGTTTGGTGGTGTTTGGTGCATATTGGTGCAGCCCGGGTAGTGGCTGCCATGGCGGGTGTATGGAGGGGGCAACTTGTGCGTCGTCATATGTGTGTGTGTGTGCGCGCATGTGTATTTATGTAGGTAGGTAGGTAGGTATGTGTTGTGCCTTGCAAGTTTTGCAGGCGTCGCCAACAGGTGCAAACGGCGGGTAATTGTTCACCGGGGGGTACATGCGTGTACATGTTGAGGATACGCAAGTGTGAAGTGTGCGCTACCTGCGGACCTTTGCTCCCTTTGGTTGGAGAGTATTGTTCAACCACCCGCCATCAGCACCACCATTTTGTGGTGGGGCCGTTCCCTGCCTGGCTACCGGGTGATCTCCCCCCTCGCCCCTGCTGCCCAAACAGGTGACACGGTCAACACGGCCAGCAGGATGGAGAGCACGGGCCTGCCGGGAATGATCCAGGTGTGTGTGTCCGTGTGTGTATGTGTGTGTATGTGTGTATGTGTGTGTATGTGTGTGTATGTGTGTGTATGTGTGTATATTTCTGTGTGTCCGTGTGTGCATGTGCGTCTTAGTGACCTGAGCCTCGAGAAGGTTTACATGTATGTATGTATGTGTTGGGATCCCGCCAGGTGGCGGGCTTAGTATATATACATCAGTCGGTGTTGGGATTTTGGTTATTTCTCCGCCTTGGAGGCGCATGCGCCGCTGCTGTTGTCCTGGTTGACGTCGGTGTTACTATTGGTGTTGTTGCTGTACCTGCAGGCCTCCGAAACCACGTACCTCTCCCTCCCCTCGGAGCGGCAGCTGCACTGGCAGTTCCGCGGAGCCATTGAGGTGAAGGGCAAGGGCTCCATGAACACATACCTCTTCGTGCCGCAAAACAACAACAACAACAACAACAATATTATTATCAACAATATTATCAACAATAATATTAACGCGGACAACACCGTCACTGCCTAGCCACCTTAATAACAGCAGCGCTCGCGCCTTGCACCCCCCACATGTCCGCATCGACTTTCATGTGGGCCAGTCAGTTGCACAACCGCCGCAACTACCAACGCGCCATCACGCATCCCCGCTCTCTCTCTCTCTCTCTCTCTGACCACCCAACCCATGGGTTCGTGAGAAGGGGGGAGGGGGGCGGAAGGAGGTTAGCTCCTTTGGCGTGTGTGTGTGAACGTTTGTAGAGTAGATGAAAAAGGTTAAAGGCGGTCACCCAACCGGGTGATGAGGGGTTTCATTGACTCTCGGCTCCCCCAGCTGCTGTTGGTTGTGCTGTTAGCTGTGCTGCTGGCTGTGATCCCGAGCTGGGGGGGAATTTTCCGCCTCCCCGTCCTCGTCAGTAAATAAAAATAAAGGCAAACTGAGTTGGTCCGCATGAACGCATGATGCCGCATGTATATGATGTGTTTTACAATCTGTTTGAAGCGGTCGCGCGGATGCATGAAGCTGCTGCTGCTTCCTGCTGTGGCGGATGATTGCCACTTGTTGATATCCTCAAATGCTTCTCCTCCTCCTCCTTGTTGTATTTTTACGCAATGAAAGAAAGTGAGATGGCTGGGAAATGGACGCGGCCCGTGCCACATAACTCTCCTCTATCTTTTCGTAATGATGTACAAAGGAAATGAATACGATGGACGACGTGCGCATATCCTTGTCGCTGGATGTGTGTGTGTGTGTCCGCTCCTGCGCCTAGGACCATAAACGCGCCATGTCGTACTCCCTGTACGAGCACGCGAGTACGGCATATTTCATGTTTTTTGTCACACGTATACATGATTTGAGCTTTTTAAAGGGGCTGTGAGGAATCACCCATCCTTGTTGTTCAGCCCTACCGCAGCGCCTCCTCTCCATGACTGACTAACAAGAGGCGGCGACAATACAGGCGGCTACACTGTGACCGGGGGATTGTGAATATAGTGGTTTAAAGCACTGTGACAAACACACGAGACGAAGCCCGTCTCAGTATCTTTGATGTTGGCGGGGCCCTTGGTGGTGGTGGTGGTAGTGGGCCAAAGAACCGCGTGCGGACGGTTGAGGTGTGTGTGTCTCTGTGTGTGTGTGTGTGTGTGTGTGCGTGTGTGTGTGTGTCTGTGTGTCTGTGTGTACAACTTTGGGGCCTGCAGCCAGCCCTCTCGCCAGCATGATTTCATTCGCAGGTCCCCCCCCTAGGCCCCCCTAGATGGGGGAGCCTGTTTGTTGCAAAGGAAGCATCGCCACCTCTGTCTCCGGACACCCAGGGGGAACTTGAGAGGAGTTCGCGCTGGCTCGCTTCATGCACATACGCTCAACACAACACGTCAATGCAGTGCACACAACTTGAGCTACGCTGCGCTGATAAGCGAGCCGAGCCGAACTTAGCCCTACCAGCCTGTCCTTACCATTCCACCAGCCCATGCTATGATCCATTTCTTTAAATTTCCAGCGGCCAAATGCTTGGGGGGCCCCAAATTTTTCAATCTGTCAATATTTCCGTTCCCGGCGGTGCAATTGAGGCACTTTCGGCGTGCCTCGTGGACTTTCCTTAGGCGGCTGAAGGTTATTAGATGGATTGCGTTGGGAGGCGGCAGCTGATGCTGAGCAGCAGATAGCTATGGACGCGGCCACATAAGGCCCTAATGCCTGATGAGCCTGAGCAGTACCTCTTTGATGGGCGGATTGAAAGGGGGTCATGTGGAACGTCATGAGAGAGCTGCTTTCCAGACTGGGGCCGTTGTACTGGTGTAGGCTGCGAGGGAAAACCCCCAGCTGCTGCTGCTGCTGCTGCTGTTTGGTGTGTTTATAGCCGTGGAGGGGGGACAACTGTCGGAAGGAGCAGGTTGGTGGTGGTTGGTTGGTGGTGGTTGGTTGGTGGTGGTTTGCCGGGGTTGCCGTGCAGCATGGAGCGGCGGAGGCTGCCCCTTCCTCCCCTTCGTCTCCCCGAAGAAGGACACCCCTTTCGCTCATCCCCGAAGGGGAAACCCTTCGTCTAGGGCCGCAGGGTAGCTAGGGTGACGAAGTTGAGGGTGCTGAGGGTCGCAGGTTGCCTGTGTGGGTGGAGGCTGGACGCAGTGTGTATGGGTGTGCGTGGCGTACGTTGTCGCAAGACATGGAGCAGCAGTTGGTGAAAAGCTTTGCCTGCGTGTCTGGAAAGGAGAAGATACTCCCAATAAATTGGCACAAGGGGGCCCCCGGGTAGGGCCGATCCCTCTGAGGCTGACGGGTGCTGATTGCGTGCTTCTAGATGGTGGACTGAATGACCTCGGGTTTTTTCTTGACCTTTTGGAGGAAGAATAAATCAATAAATATATACATGACGGTCACAGCCCAACGCCATAGTCATTGCCGTGATAGTCGGCTGTGATCCTCGTTTCGTTGTGTCCCCCGTGCGGTGCGCGTAGCTAACCGGATAAGTTTGCTGGCGGCCCATGTGAACTCCGATTGCTTCCTTTCTCTTACACGTGCGGTGCGTTACATATGTAGAGGACACGAGTCTGTTAACTGTTATTTTGGACGTGGTTTGGGACGAGTGTTGGAGAGCTATTGCCTAGCTGATTAAATTAAAGGGAAATTACGACAAATACAGTGGCGCCGAGGGTTGCGGTACGTGGCGGAGACTTTGTAAGCAAGGGTTTGATGGCGGGCGGGGAAGGGCCTCGGTAAGCCGGCGGGGAGGCATTATGACGGGCTCTCCCGCAGGTCTGGTTCTTGGGAGCCTCCCAGGACTTCAGGGAAAGAAGAGTCCCTGCTTTTAGGGCGGACTTAGAGGACATCTGCTTCTGTGCAATTGCAAATCATGTGATTGCATCTGCGTTTTAAATGCAGCGCAAGGCACAGCGGCCGGCGAGAAGTGTCCCGACATGCTCCAATGGTTGCTTGTTTGACTGGATTGGCGGAGGATGTTGGACGTTGGAAGCGCGTTCAAGGTCGACTGAGATGACTTAAGTTGTGACTGGCCATTACGATTGCTATCACGCAGCAACTTACATCATGGTTACGGTTAAAGCGGACTTCTCCAGAAGGTGAAGGTGGGAGCGCATCTGCGAGACGGTGGAGCCTCTGGGTCTTATATGCTCAGCGAAAATCCAATATATATAATTCAGCTGAAAACTTGTTACTGACGCGCCAACGCGCGATGATGCTTGCAGAGCGAAAGCAGTGGATCATTACCCCACGATCCTTGTGGGGCTCGAACCCACAGGCAATAGCCCCCAGGAGCCGGGTCGAAAAAAAATACCACCATCACCACCCTATCCATGCTGGGCACCACCACCACAACAACAACCGGTTCCGAGCGATGCCGCACCCGCACTCGCACCTCCGCTGCACCCGCACTCGCACCATTCCTCGTGCAGCACAGCCGGGTCCATCCCGTACACAAGTTTCCAAGATGTTTACCGTACACACGTCCTAGTAATGCTCTCAGCTCTCGAAGGTACTCACCTCCCGCAGTAGCAGCATGAGGACCGCGATATCTCCATGTATTGCAGCCACCCGGGGGTTGACGCGGGCAACTAACGAAAAGCGAGCAGGAAGGCCGTGTGTGTGCTTGTGTGCGTGATCTGCGTGTGACGTGTCAAGTACCGTGTCAAGCCGTGGAACTATGCCTCGACGGTAAGACACAGTAGAGCAGCCATGTGCTGTATGTCAAGCATCTGATTAAGGACCCAGGAATGGACACCGAAGCGCCGTACACTTAATGTAAGTGTTTCCATGTGAGGTGTTTCCTCTGATGGCCTCAGCCCTTGGGCTCCCGAGGGTTACCAGAGCCCCCAGAAAATAGAAGAAAACGGCCACAGGGGCCACCCGGACTCGGACTACGGTGTACAATATAATAACGGCTATCGGTGAGGTGAACAACAGTTTGTTCAAGTCCCCTCTTAGCACCCTGAGCCCCGCCTCTCCCTACTATTTCGCCTCCCTAGGTGAAAAAACCTAATGCCCAAAGTGAAGCCAAGTCCTCCTCGCCCACCCTCCTCGACACCCAGTCCCCGCCATCCGAGGCCTGCTGCACCTGCTGCATGTGTATGAGAGCAACAGAATGAACCGGTTACACCAATGCCTCTTCATTGTGCTTTCGGGGCTGCACCTTTACCAAGCCGTCAGGACGTCAGTAAGGTCAGTAGTAGCTCGTCAGGACGAACACGTCATCCCCACCCATGCTCATTTAGGCTGGCACAGACCTTAACTACTAAGGTTTACTGATGTGTTGACCGGGCATATCTATGCCTTATCCTTGCGCTATCGGGGCTGCACCTTGGTCTGCACCAATCCCATAGCGAAAGAGTAGGTCATCAGGACAAATACCACATTCCCATTCGCCCATAGCTGCTGAGCCGTGGGGAGCAACACGTCTCTGGACTACCGTAGGGTGCACATGCCCATTTGCTACGAAGTGTGTCACCCTTGCTTATCCCGCACCATGCCGTGCCAGCCACACGCATAACTGTCTGGATGTAACAAACGTCCCGGTAGGCAACCCATGTGGCACCCAACGCGGCACTTTCTGGGAGCACAGCAGCTACACAGCCACCATGTCCACTTCCATGGGGTTCTGGCCACCCGCAACTTGTCCAATGCCCCCCCCCTCAACATCACCACGGCCGTCCACCCACAGCTGCATCCAGCGCTTCAGCGGCTTTTGCACCACTGCTGCCGTCGATCACCACCACCATTTGCATGTCACCCAGTCCACGTGCCTTGCTGTGAGTTGTGGGGTGGGCGGAGGTATCCGATCGACGAAACGCGTCGGCTTCGCTGTGCCGACATCTACATTCAGCATCCGCGCACATCTGGTGCAATTTTAAGCTCTGGTGCTTCTGCGACTCTGATGGCTGCGCCTGGCTGAGGCAGCTCCCACGTGTGCAGAGCTCCCGGAATGTCGCGCATCCACCAAATCCGGTGTGAAGGAGGTCAGCGGCGAGGCATCCCATGCAAATGAAGAGCCCAATTCGAATTGCTGACGGAAGGGCTGGTGAGGATCGAATTTCCCTTATGATAGTAGCTGAACCCGCACGCACATCGATTTCGCGTACTACGTAACAGACAGAGAGATAGACAGACAGACAGACACACACACAGCAGATAATGGAGCACGGGTTGAAGCTTTGGGGCTGATGTGGCCTCATCGGACCTCTTAACTACTTAAGGGTGCTGTAGTCGCTCCGGCAGCCATCACTTGTGCTTAAGCAAGCCTATAGATGTTTCGGGGCTGGGAAAGGGCTGGGGGGTAAGAGGGAGATGAAGGCTCACGGGTTCGTTAAGCGGGATGAGGAGTCATGCGTGCCAGGCCAAAAGCCTCTTTGGTGCCGGTCGTGTAACCTCCATATGCTAGCGCCATGATTAAGTGTTTCGGTGGTCATCGAGGCGGGCTTCTCCTTCCTTCGTTCGTTCAATGGTTTGGGCTCAAAAAATGGGGACGTAAATACGGTGGTCATGGGGACCACGGCCTGGCAGATGGGCTGAGGAGACCTGTTAACTGAAAACCTGGTGAAACCGACGACGGTTCTGCTAAACATCCATGACATCCCCACGCTTTTGCAATCAGCGGCTATCCTCAAGCAGCGGTTACCTACTGGTAGATATGTGTACTACTGGACAATGCACAAACGGAAAAAAACTCCACAGTAGAATGATAGAAGGACCGCCGGGGATTAATATACGGGATGTGTACAGACAGGAGGAAGGAGGCGTTTAGCTGGCCACCAAACGCCCTGTCGTACTGAAGGAAAGACAGCGAGCAAGAGTGCTAATCGTGCACACCCGAGTCAGCATCATTGGCTCATCCCCAGCCCACAGCTCCTGTGTGTGCGTGAGTCATGTGATGCCACTCAATCACCTGACATGACATCAACCCACCAGATCCAACACATGGCAATCCGGAACTTCTGCAGACGGCTCCTTTGTCGCCCACAACATGGTGGCTAAGCCACCGTGGCTTCCTCTAGTGGTCCTAATTCCCCACCCCACCCCCTGACACCCTGCAAACAACCACCACACAACACATAAATCCCACATCTACTCACAATGTCAAAAACCATGAGTGTGTGGGAGGGGGCACATTACCGTTAGGAAATCTAGGAATATCACACAACACAACAAACAAACCCCCCAGCCCCAAACCCCCCAGCTGACACATCACATCACTTCACTAACTCAAGAGCAATAGTAGCCATCATGTCCCTAGTATGCAGGGACAAAAATGCCGTACATGGCGAGGACCATCATGACATTCACACATGCGGTACACGTGTATGGACGTTACGGTGGCGGCAATGTCAGCATGCCTGACCCCGCATACTGCTCCAGGACAGGGAAGTAATGCACCGACGGTACCACCGGCCGGCCGCCTGCCCCGCCCTCACCGCCACCAGCCCCAACACCTCCTCCACGTCCATCTCCCAGCAGAAGCAGCAGCGGCCTCCGGGGCCTATGTTGCTGCTGCGGCCTAGCCACAGTAGTACGCGCCTCTACCCTGCCATGCTTTGCCAGGTGCTGCAGGAGCTCCCTGCAGGCCTGAGGCGGGATCACGTCTATGGAGGCCACCAGCAGCTCCTCAGGTATGCCCGGGTGCCGCATCACCAAGCCCAGCACCCGCTGCAGCAGTGCGCCCCACATCTGCTCATTGACGGACCCACGGTAGTCCAACCACGGCCGCAGCACCCGCTGCCGCACTGGTGCTGACCCCGTACCTGCAGCTGCTGCAGTAATGCCTGCATCGGCATCCTTTGCGGGATGCTCCATGCGGGATGCTGTCGTGGAGGTGCCAGTGGTGCCAGTGGCGCTGCAGGCCGCTTGTGCCGCTTGGTCCGCCTCCGAGCTGGCGGCAGCAGTTCCCTCTGGTTGTAACGCCAGCTCAGCCGGAGCAGCGGCATCAGTGTTGACAACCTCCAGGACTGCGTCCTGGCAATGCTGTGCCGCCAAGAAGCGAACTTCGTCCCAGCCGGCCACACGCCATACAAGGCCGTGCAGCTCCAATGCCCGCAGCACCAACGACAAGTAGCGTTGTGACGGTGGTGACGACAGCATCAGCGCCGACGGCGCCACCACCGTTGCTGCTGGCGACCCAACGCCTCCATTCTGCGATTGCGCAGTACCCAGCACAAGACCGCTGCTGCTGGCGGCCTCATGCAGCTTGGATGACAGCTCCAGAACTGTGAGGCCGCTATCTGCAGCAACCTCCAGCAGCGTCTCCACCGCCTCCGCCAGCTCCTCCATCAGGGCCTGACATGATGGCGCCTCCGTCGCCAGGTACGCCCTGGATGCTGCCCTCGCTGCGGCTCGAGTCGAGGGGACGCTTGCCACCATCGATGGTTTGAAGAGCGGCGCCAGTACTTGCGGGGGCCCGCCAGAATTGAGGAGCCTTGGATCCGGATCCGGATCCTGGAACTCGATGCCGACCTGGGCCCGTGTTGCACTAGTTACTCCGCCATCCCGGTGGGGTCGGGGCTGCTGCTGCTGCTGCTGCTGCAGCTTCGGCGGAAGATGACTGCTCTTGCCCTCCTCCTCCTCCTCCTCCTCCTTATCCTCCTCCTCCTTACCATCCTCCTCCGCCTTATCATCATCAGACGTTCCGTCGCGTGGCTGCGACGGTGCCGCGACGTTGGTAGTGGCAGCGGCGGCACTGCCGTCCGCGGTGACCGCAAGACGAGTCCCAGCCGCCGGTGCCGGTTGTGGCACCACCGACAAGCAGCCAGCTAACCCTCCTCGAGCGGCATTACCGCTGTCGCTGCCGTTCTGCTGCGGGACGACAAGCAGCTGTACTGACGTCAATAGTATGCCCGCAGTGGCGGCCTGACCGGCCCAGTCGGGCTGCATGTTCACGGCGCCCGGCAGCAGCTCCACCTGCCCCAGTGCTTGACGGGCCAACACCACTGCCACCAACTCGCTAGGGAGCTGGTCCTGGGCCTCAAGCACCAACGCACCGCGAGCCGCGTCCACCGTGCAGCTGCGCTCAACAGCATCCACCCCGGTGCGGTCACCATCACCATCACCACCACCATCACCGCCAGAGGCACGGTCCTGGGGCGACGGTGCCACGGCGTCGACATCCATCTCCTCGGAGTCCTGTCGATGTGCAGCACGCCGTGCCTGGGCCAGCAGCTCGTCCATCCTGCCCGCCGCGGACGCGCAACGGCCCAGCAGGCCTTGAGGGATCTCCACGCCAGTGAGCCGGTTCATGAAAGCCGGTGTCAGTTCCAGCTGGCGGCGGGGCCCGGAGCGAGCGAGCCAGCCGCGCAGCTGCATCTGCTTGAGCGCCGCAGTCTTCACATCGGCACTGAAACGCCGGCCAAAGTCCGCGAGCGCCTCCATGACCAGGTTCGACGCCCAGGCCGCGGCGCCTCCCGCAGCACGCACACTGAACAGCAGCGACACCAGCATGCATATTGCTGCTGTGACAGACACCGAGGGCGGCGGCACTGCTGAAGGCTGTGGTAGTGCTAATCGCGCCTGCAAGATCAGCCGGCCACCGGTGGCGGCGCCACTACCGCCAGGACGGCGACTGCGCGCCGGCGCTACGCTGGATGGCCCGGCAGGATTAGCGGCGGCAGCTGCACCGTCGCCGTCACCACCGCCTTCATCGTCGCCGATGGCGGCAGCGGCCTCCACCTCCTGCAGTGTGCCGCCAAGGCTGCGCCGCACCGCCGCCGCGGTACGGCGGCGGACCTGCGTCTCATTCGTGACGTTCTGCGCCGGCATCTCGCCCAGGTCCAGGTCACCCCGCTGCTGCATCAGCTCTCGCTTCTTCTGGGATATACGGCGTGGCATGACCAGCACAAAATCCTCCACCAGCGCCAGCGCCTCCGCGATCACCGCTTCCCGCTCTGCCTCAATCGCCACCTTCTTCTCCCCCTCCTCATCCGACAAACGCTTCATCAGCGCCTCCTCGGGGTCCGCAGGCGGCGCCTCAAGCGCCAACACGTCCGCCTCCGTAGCCGCCACCGTGGCGGCGGTAGATATCTCCATCTCCGGCTCCTCCACCTCCTCCAGGCCGCGGCCCTCTCCCGCCGCCGACCCCACGATCACTCGTGTGACATGAAGTGGATCCCGGGGGAGCTGCGGCTTAGGATCATCCTGTACCTCATACCCGTCAGGGCCCAGCGGCCGTACAGGCTCCCCAGCTTGCCGCCGCCGCAGTCGCTCCGCATAGGCGGCCGTACGCGCCTCCTGGCTTGTCGTGATGAGTTGCAGCTGGGCCTTCCGCTCGTGGGCGCGACGGAGCAGCTCGTCCAGCCGACCGGTGTAACTGGGATAGTGGCGCTTCAGGTAGCGGATGTGGCGGATGCAGATTGTGATAGAGTACGGCAGTACGGCAGCGCGTGTTTTCCAGGGCAGCCGGACATGCGGGCCCACTTCCGCCGCCAGCTTGACGTACTCCGTGAGCAGCACGCGGTCCTCGGAGGCGGTCCACAGGATGCGAGTCACGCGGCTGGGTGCGGCCATGTCAGGCATGCGCACGGCGGGGCCCAGGCCGCCGCCGCCGTCGCCGCCGTCGGTGTCACTACCGCGGCGTCGGTGATGCTCGTCCTCGCCGCCGCCGCCGCCTGCAGCGGCTGCGGCTGCGTTTTCGTACAGCATGAAGAGGGCGCCGTGCAGGCGATCGCGGCCGGGTCCGACGGCAGCGAGCGCGCCGTCTCTGGCTGCCAGTTGGGCGGCACTGGCGGGCTGGGCCTGATGGAATGAGCGGGTGGTGTCCAGGGTGGTGGTGTATCATAGGAGTGTGAAGGAGTTCAGGCGGCGTGACATGATACAGTGCAATGGCGGGATGCGAGCAAACCACCACCAGGTTGGATGCAACAGTACAGCAAAAGCGACCGGACCGGTGTCACTGGAACTGAGGATGATCATGTGCGGCGGTGTGGACACAGACGGAAGGATGAGTCTTGACATGTCATTGACAGTCTGGGTACTGGGTACTGGGTACTGGGTACTGGGTACTGGGTACTGGGTACTGGGTACTGGGTACTGGGTACTGGGTACTGGGTACTGGGAAGACATCCTAGCGGGAGGTGGTGGTGTGCTCCACACACACACACACACTCACACATGCCGCTGCTCATGCCTTTCCAGTGCCCTGCAACACTCACCCACCCACCCTGCTCCCCCAAACCTACGCGACATCCCCTCCGCACATCCTCCGCCCAAGCGGCGCAAACCCTCTCCCCCCGCTGCACGTACCGCACGCTTGCGGCGCTGCTGCTGCTGCTGCTGCTGCTCCTGGCTTCCACCCTCCCCACCGGCACCGTCCTCGTCCTCCTTCCCAGTCACCCGCCGCCTCTTGCGCCGGTGCAGCCCCGCCGCCTCGGCTGCCTCCATCTCCGCGCGGGAGCGCCGCCGCACCACGAATGTGCCCGAGGCCCGCATGGCCCGCCGCGCCGCCTTTGCCGCCTCCTTCTCCTCGCGTTTCGCCACCCGCAGCGCCTTGCGCGCCGCCTTGCGTGCCGCCTCCTCTGCAGCACGCCGCTCCCTCGAGGTCGGACTGGAGCGCCGCCGGATGGTGCGGCGCTTCATCATGCGGCGCCTTTACGTTACGAAGGAACAAACACATTCGTGAATAAGTCGGTTGGTTGGTTGGTTGGTTAGTTGATGGGATAGCAGCACCACAAGGCGCAGAGGTAAGGGGGCGAGGGAGCGCTCCCGGGGGCGCTGAAGGTGGTCCCCACCCCACAGCGCAGTAGCACACAGTTGGAGTTTGAGGAGGGGAAGGAAAGGACAATGACAAAAACACATCTATATACATCTATATATGCATACATACCTATATATACATATATATAAAGACGGAGAGAAATGAATGGACCCTTGCACCCCCGCCATCCCACCTCCGAACTCACACCCATACCCACTCGCACGCTCGCATGCGCACGTGAAGGTACGCGCAAACTCAGCTACTCGAGGGGCAAAGTCGTTCGTGTGCGTGCCAATGGCAGCACTTCCCCCTGGCGGCTCCGTTGATTTCACATACATACACACGCACACGCACATGCACATACGTGCCCCGCACCTCTCCTCCGCCGGCAGTGCTTCGTCAGCAGCGCCCTGTACGCCCGGTGAGATCGCCCCCACACCACGGCCGCCCTTCCCTTGCCCCGCCGGGCCCTGGCCGTGGACGGCGGCGGGAGCGAGTCGCGCCAGTCGCAGCGGCACTCCGCCGCCCGTGTCATCATCCCCCTCCTCCGCCGAGCCCCCCTCCGCCGCCCCCGGGTCCGTAAGTCTGTTCAGGCGGCGACGCTTGTCCGACACGATGCGGGCCACCACATCCACATCGATACCCAACTGTGCAGCCAGGTTCGTAATCTGAACAGTCCGAAGTGGCGGCGGGAATTAGGAATGTGTGTGTGTGTGTCTTCCGCGATATCCTTGAGGTTGGTTGTCCTAACACATCACAACCTAAAAGGGCGTTCGGGCGGATGGTGTGCAGCCCACTGTGCAGCGGAGTCATTGACGTTCCACACGGCCTCCCTCTCTCCCCCCCCCCTACA